TGACATGACTATTTAGAGCTTAAGCGGCCTCTGCTTTTTCACTAAAAACATCACGAACTCTTGAAATTGTACTATGAGTTGAGAGAATGCTCTCTGAATTGATCTTCACATCTCTAGAAATCGTGGAAGTTCATTCAAATGTGACTAAGTTTTCTCAATGAGTTCAGTCTCAAAGTACGGAATTTGCACTGTGTTCATGGTTGATTGCTCTTTGTTTTCTTTGAGTAAATTTAGTCGCAAATTGATTGCAGGTTGAGATTTTCAACAGTTTCGACAGTCTACTGTAGACCGTCAACATGTATACAAACATTGTGTTTGATTTTTCTTATGGCTATTTCAGATTTGCTGAAATGTGCCTAAATGTGAATCGATCGTTTTTGGACGAGAGTTCACAAGCATATAAATCATTTGTTTTTCTTTCTTATTTTAGACTCCTATCATCTCTCTAGAATCTTTACACTATAGATAGTCGACAGTCTACTGTAGACCGGTTCACGATGAATTGCAATTCTTATCTATCTTAATTACTTCTTGTCTCAGTCTTTTGCGTCAGTTCAATAAAACTCTCAAGTTATCATCCACTTCCGAATCACACTTTACAATTACTTCTATAATTTTTAGAACAAGTTCTTTCCTATTACGCATATAGCCTATGATTTATTAATCCAGATGATGTAGAGCTATTAGGCTTGCGAAGAGTGTTGAAAATGATAATCACTGTAGCGGAAATGACCATAATTTTTACGTAAGCAAACCTTTCGCGACTCTTCCCACGCATAATGGGAATCCACAAGAACTAAAGTCGTCATTGGAAATTATTTTGGGTTAAGTTGCCATAAATGTCCACCGCATTGCAACTTTAATTCAAAAAAAAACATTTGAAACCATGTAGAATTCAAGCAACTACGAACCACATTGTTAGTCCGGTTACCTTTCAATGTAAGACGCAGAACAATCGCTTGAATGCTTATAGTAGTATGAGATGTGCTCAACGATTGGAAAATCTTACTACTCTAAAATATTTTTTTCTACAGTGAAACATGAGTGAAAAAAATGCTTCCGGAGGGGAAGGGGGATGAGGAGAGAGAGATAGGAAAGAAGATGAATTAGACAGAATCAGCTGAATTGACTCACAAATATATAGTCTCGTCTACCGAACGACTGTGATGTCTTGTGTTACTGACAATATTTGCGCGTAGAAATCGGCCATGGGGCGCAGAATCTTGGAGGTGCGCTCAGTTGCAATTTTTGCGCTCTGGCGGGAGTGCGGCATAATGCTCAACCAAGTCTTCAATTCTTTAAATTATATCGAATCTTTCGACCTCAGTTGATAACATTGGACAAGGATTAGCTTGGTTGTATATATTCTGTGAATTAGAAACAATCTGAAATTCGCGAAACTAATTTTCTGCACAAGCCATATAGGTAATTCCGTTTTCACGCCTACTTTCACACCCATATGCTCGAACAATCGAATATGCAAAACCATTTTCGTATTGCTGTAATGTGAATCATCACTTCAAACCTCTGACTCACCAATACCCTAAAAATAGCGCTGTGTACTTATGGCTTTTCCGAGCGCGCGGTATTACGCAAGTGGTGTCGCATCCGCGTCGGGGCTGTGCAAACTCAGGCTGTTAAAATAGGCACACAAGACTTTGCGGTAGTCCGCTGGTCACGTCATGACGCACGGGGCTCCCCGACGGCTCTGGCGGCCCCGTCAGCGATTGTCGTCAAAGGGGCGGGCCGGCGGCCGCGGCGGCCGCTGCTCTGTTGATACTCTCGGGCGTCGCGAGCCCTGAGCGCCTCACACTGCCTTCGCTTGGTCGCTCGCCGTTCGTTCGTTCGTTGTCGCTCTGCTACTCTCACACTCTAACAAACTTTTCTGTTCGTTTTCGCATACACAAGCAACCCTGTGATTACGTCAATGTGCGATTTGTCCGGAGAACAGTAAATATTGGCGTTAAAAATAGCGCTAATTGCTGTACTTCCCGTAATTACACGATGTCGATTCCACAAGCTGTAAGAGCGGCTACTCTGTCCTTGCATAGTCTTCTTCTCCATATAGGCCTCTCCAATTTTCCCTCTCCGCAATTCTTTGAGGAAACCTGATTAATTTGTGAAATGTCTGTTCCAAGTGGATTGCGAAAGATCGATGGACTGCCGCTATTGCTGCTCGTTGTCGACGTACTCAGCGGGTTTCATGTGATTTCATTCGGAGAACACATGCTCCACTGCGAAAATGCAATGTATGCTTTGAATTGAGCGTTTTGACTGTTATTCCTGCCATCAATACCATCTGCTGTTCGAGTTTCATTCACTATTAAGTATGGCATGTGAATGTTTAGAATTTTCTGGAAGCTCCAGGAAATTCTAAACACTTCCCAGATGTTTTCGCGAATGACCGACCATGCTAGAGGATTTCGATAGATCTGAAAGTCGTTTGGCTACGGACATTGCTAACCGTAGTCACAAAGCCTTAAACTAGAACAAAGTGGTCAACCCTGCACTTTTGAATTCAGTTCATGTGTTTCGAAACTTACATCCTGGCAAAACGTTGAAAAGGAGGAAGCAAATTGAGAAATTGGCATATTGCGCGAGTAAAGGCACAGCCCTGTACTGCACTTTCTTCAGACGGTTGTTTGATCTTTGCGGACTATTTTGCATTATCCCCCGAATATTTTTTAATCCAAGCAGGAAAACGAGAGTGGTATAAGACATTTAATAAATCGTAACGAAGGCGCGACCGCGCTTTACACGCACGCCACTTTCAGAAACCGCATTTTCTTGGTTTTCATCTCTGATTGAGTGGTTTTTCTGCTTACATATGGACTGAGCTGAGCGTTGAGATGATATTTTCTTGTATAAGCGTTTTATGCTCCTGTGGACGCAAAGTCCGCAGTCAAATCCGTCGTCACGATTTTATAAATGACCTAAGCCTATCTGTCGTAGCATCCCAGTCGTTGGTAAAGCACTATAGCCGAATTTGTGGCGCATAGCGTGATCATACTCCTTTTTTTTCAGCTGTGTCTTATCCTTCTGTCTTCTCATATCAAAGTCATATTTTTTTCTCTTCTGACGCAGAATTCAACTATTTCTGAACACAAAGCACGGATTTGGTTGTAATGCGATTGCACTGGCCGGACTGAGCTGACGACACGTATAGGATAAATTGTTTTTCGAGCATTCATTCCCACAAAATGTTAATTGCCGAGACTGCTTGCATCAGGCAATACAAAATTCTGCAATGTTTCATGCTGCTGCTCTCCTTCAATTGAAGAAGCTCTCATATTACTTGTAAAAAGATCTTTGTTGCTATATTGCAGTCTATAGGCAAAATTGGATCATTGAACTTCATTTTGCACTCTGTGCTTGTCAGTAGTTTGCACCGAAGCTTGTCAAAATAGAATCATGCACTCGAATCGCTTGCAATCTTATATGTGAGTTCGCACACCGCGCACTGCATTCGACGACTTTTTGCATGTGAAAGGCACGCGCCATAGGTAGGTGCCAGAGTAAGCGAATATTTTGTTCAGCTTCGTTCAGCTGAAGAAGGCGCGCAGAATTAATGTCTGCTGCATAATCTCTACTGCTGCCAAGGCCTAATCCAGCTGCAGGTCCGGCGCAGAATACGTTAATTCTGTGCGCCTTTTGCAGCTGAACGAAGCTGAACAAAATATTCGCTTAGGCACCCGCCATACTTGATCCGCTTCTGGCACCTGCCATAGGTAGGTGCCAGAGGGGTGGGGGACATTAGGTCGCCGAAAAAGGGCGGTCCCCGCGGTCATTTGCGACAAATACGCACCCTTGTACATGCGCGGACATGCGTTCCTGCAGGGAATCCGCGCGGGACTCTTCCAAATTCGGCGACCTAATGTCCTCCACCCGTGCCAGAGTAAGCGAATATTTTGTTCAGCTGCAAAAGGCGCACATAATTTATGTCTGCTGCATAATGTCTGGGCCTGCTTCAGCTGCAGGTCCCGCGCAGAATTAACGTTGAGTCTGTGCGCCTTTTGCAGCTGAACAAAATATTCGCTCACTCTGGCACCTACCATACTCTTGATCCTCCTGATCCACTTGATCGCTTCTTGCAAGACGCTCTGACTAGTTCGTCATTTGACGTCGCGTATAGCGAATTTGCGCAAGCATACAAAATACCTTTCTACCTGCGCGGCGCCGAATGACAAACTAGTGAGCTCGGTTTTGCACGAAGAGGAAAGGATCAAGAGGAAACAACTTGATCTACTTCGTCTACTTCGTTATTGGTCAGTTCACTGATTTGACAAATAGCGACGTGGATGGAGTGGATCAAGCGCAAGTGGACAGTTTGGCGCGTGCCAAAGGTTAAGTTCACTCTTCTTCAGGCTAGCTTCACACTGATCCGTAAGTTCCGGAACGTTCTAGCGCAGCGCTCGAGCTGTGCACTGTGCTGGAATTGTTCCGGAACTTACAAATCAGTATGAACCCACCCTTGGTTCCGTCGATGTCATTGTCCTACTATATTTTCTCGGTTTTTCTTTATCCCTCTACAAATCATCTTCTAGAGTGTACACGAAGAATATTGTAGTCTTCTCGCCGTTTCACATGACCTTGATGTGTACGCACTACTTACTACTATTTACGGCCGCCTTCTTGGTATCGAGTATTTTATACGGTTTTCAATATGGTATTATTCATACGTGAGATTGAGCGACGTTGCGTTCGCTGCAAGGGCAGTCGTCCTTCCGGGCTTAGTGGAAAAGTACTTTAGTCTTTAATCCACAACATTTATTTTTCGTTGAGAACAGCGAGGATTATCGCTACGCCAATTTACTAGTTCCACGATAGAATAATATAAGGAGTGCTCAAGTATCCTTACATGAAAACCCGTAATTTCTATGGTTGCTCACGTCTCGCGATTTCGTGTGGTTTTCCCGCCAAATCGCTGCGATCGCGCGCGAAGTCGCCAGATTTCGTTGATATTTTGCAAATATTCTCACATTTGCCTTTGTTTTCTTTGTGTCGTAGTGAATATCTTACCATTTGGGAGCAAGGAAGAAAGCAGTCGAGAAGCTTGCAAACAGTAAACATCAAAGCCTGAGACACAAAAGCCAGGCAAGTTTGTTTACATTGTCTGTGTTTTTCATCTTGTCAGCATTGCTGTTCATTCCATTCTGCTCCGCTTATCTCGTTATCGCTGACAAAAGGCAATTTTTTTTTCAGCAAACATAATTAACGTTTGCAGATGTTATTCGATCCAGCGAGATTAGCGTACATCGTAGAGAAAATCACCATGTTTGCATGATAGTCTCAGGGCATGGTACCATATTTATTCCATGGTAACTTCTCACATATATAATTTTATTTTTTCAATCAGCTGCTAGAAGAACAGCGCTGTAAATCTCTTCCCGTTCAGCGAATTTATTTGTGCTGTTACTCTCTAGTCAGAGTGGCTCTTTCATGTCAACACTTTCTATTGTTTCCCCGCAAACGCTTTCAAAGCTTGTTATTCACTGGTCTGAGAACTATGGGATGTTGTTTCCTCTCTTTATTTTCCGAATCCGCAAGCTCCTATCAAACAGTTGACGACGCTTTCGAAATAGCTGTTTCGTTCAAATATGCGAAACATGGAGAGGTGAACATTGAGAACTTTAGTGTGTATTTTTTGTAACATTCTTCTAGTTCTGGTTTTTATGTACTCCCCTTTTTGCATCAAGCATGAAAAGTCCTTCAATATCGCACGCTGGAAAGTCATGAGAAATTCTCAACTGAAATGCTTTTTCTTTGACGTTGGAACGTTTGCTTCTCTTAGTAGGAATGTACAATTTTCTCAATACGGATTAAGTCAGAATCGAGGGATGCTTCGCATCGCCATTATTTTGCTTCAAGTCTATGGTTTGGTCCAAGTGATCGTGTTGGGAACTTCGGTTTTCCCTTCATTTTCTTCGATCTCTTCTCTAGTCCTTTAGGTCGCACATGCAGCACGCGGTTTTGAGCCATCGAGGTGTGACTCTTTCACGCAAATTGTACACAATTCAATTCAAAAGAAATAAAATCAAACGAATACATGACAGTAACTAAGCTTACTGTCCGTTAATTTTCAGCAGTAGACAAGCGTGATATGCAAGTACACGCGCATGCGAAAACAGCGAAACTATACTCGAGTTTCAAGCTGAATTCACGCAGATAAAGATGAAATGCAACAAGTATTTTTGGCGATTTTACTACCGTTGTTATCGACTATTAACATCTTTCTCATTCCGCTTGCATCTTCTTCTGCGTGCAGTCATGCATGTGAAATCTGTAGCGTCTATGTTTAGAAACAGTTAAATGATTGACCAAACCATTGCGAAATGATTTCCATTGGCACTCTTTTCCTCTTTTCAGTTTCACAATCAGGAGAGAAGGCCGACACTTCCGACTCTTCTCAGGGTTTTCTTGATGCTTTTGTTTTCTGTCACTTAATTGATGCCATCATATCATCAACCACGTTTTATTAGATGAGAGAATCGTTTATTTGAATGTCGCTGATGCTGACGCACTTCTGATGAAGCATTTCAAAGTACGTCATCGTGAAACTCCGCACGTCTTGTCCACACTCCATAGCTTCAAAACTAATATTTGCCAGCTACTCTTCAGCCGTTAGTTCCTATTAGTTACCGTTTTGCGCTGCTAATTGAAGTTTTGCAAAAACGATCATAAATTATCTGTTATTCCCATAACGTGATGATAAATTCGGCTAAAATGATCTAATTATCTTCCTCATCAACATTCATCATAGTCATTAATTTTCATCACGTGAAATAGAATAATGAATTGGGCTTAATAAGTGTGCACTACCGGGTTCAGTGCACTACAAGCTTGTTTGGCAGTTTCGGGGTAAGGGGGGGGGGGGAGTACAGAGCGAGTATAGTCGAGTAAACGCGGCTAGTAATTAGTGCATCTGCGGTGCCGACAACAGAGCGAAAAAATGCTGTATTTTTGACATTCACCGTACAATGTCTATCGTGCGCACCATGGCCATTTTACACGCGCAAGTGTTGTTGCCACCGCAGGGACAACGAGTATCAAACCTTTATTACTCGCAGTTTTCTTTTCTTATGAGATACTTTACTCCGAAGCTTGTTGCCAAAGTGGCAAATCCAGCGTCAGCTTATCCTAGGAGTGGTAGAACCATGGAACCTTACGGAGTATGCGAGACAGAATCAAAGTTACTGTTGTGTATAGATTCTGAGTGGTGCAATCACACAACGCAATCATCCGAAATCGCCGCATGTTCCAAATTTTTTATCACGCGATTCCACTCCATTGTCTCCTTTGCAAAGATATCATTTACACATGTGACTCTTTCATTTCTGAAATTGCTCATTATCTTAGTAGTTTCGCAAGTGTTTGATGTCGTCAATCCGCTATATTCGATATATCTATCACGTGCTGTTTTTTAGCAAGATTATTGCTGTCCATAGCAATAGGTGTTGAAAGCACAGTTTTTCAGAAAATGGTTAACAACTTAGAAAATGGCGTGAATATCTCAACTGTAAAAAGTAAGGACGAATTGCCGAACTCGATAATAGTGACGCAAGTTCCTGAAGAGGTAAGTATCTGTTTACAACATTCTTTTTTTCGCTCAAATTCTGTTGTTGTTCCTGATAAAGGTATGCAAATGCAGGACTGTGGTTTCTCGAACATGCTTAGAAGTATGAGCTTCTACTAGCAATAAGAGGAAAGAAAGTGCAGTAATTTTGAGTACTGATGGAGTTCGTAGTTTCTTTTTAGCGACTTTGGGCAGATTTACTTTCTTATGGTTCATACTTTGTTTACTTTGTCTATACGTGGCTTTAGTGAGTGGACTATTGATTTTACATAATTTCCTTGTACATAGGTCGTACGAAAAACCTTGTTGTGAAGCAAGTTTGAAGGCATAGCTCATTAGCATCGTATTTGCTGAATAGACGTATTGTGTCTTTTTTAGCTTTTCTTCAATGAATCAGCTATTCTTCACCAGTTTAGTTAGCAGCCTGCAATTTTGCAAGATTATGTATGCAACTTCTACGAATGGTTTTACGATTCATAGAATGAAGTTGCTTTTCACTTGACTAGGAGTTCTGTGTATAACCAAACTGAGTTCCTGTCAGGTTATAATTCGAATCGTTATTTTTAAATTTTTCCTTGTAGTATTAGACATCATCGGGGAACAAAATTAAACCTTCAATCTTCAAGTATTAATACATTTTTCTTCGTATTGAGCTTCACATGAAATTTATCCACTTGTTTGTAGGTTTTCACGAATCCAGAATATAAGCAGAATTTCTGTCAACTATTCACGCAGATTGAGGAAGACATCCACTTTGACTTTCTGAAAAGTTTCCGAAGGGTTCGTGTAATTTTCAGGTGAGTCTTGCTTCTTTTCACTGTAAAATAAGTGATTTACGTATTTGCAGCACTCCTGAAAGTGCGACAGCAGCAAAATTAATAGTTCAAGGATTTTCTTTTCATGGATGTCAGCTGAAAGCATTTTTGGCGCAGGTATATCAATTTCTTGTTCTTTGCATCTGTTATACCTCTGCATTGCCGTGGTGGAGCTGTGTGAGGAGTTTTCTCAAGATGTAAACGCGACAATGGCTGGCTTGTTTGACGTCAGCTCTGAGGCATATACTTACGTCAGCGACGTGACTGGACCAAAACAAATAAGCCTATACTTCATTGCCTTGCGCAGTTTTTGAAAGTGAGGAAAACAAAAAAACCCCATCGAGGTTTTTATCGTTTGGAGTTGTCAAAAGTAATAACCGTTCAAAACTTGTGGTTTAGGCAGCGTTTTTCAAAGTAAGTTCAAAATAGCCAGTTTCAGTGAGATGCGAAATGATCGATGGTGTGTCGTTTTGAATTTGGCTCTAATTTATGTTCTACTGCGCAACCTATGTATTACTAGAGTAATGCGTCAGCTATTATCTTGCATTCCCCAGAATGGTTCTTATATGAATCACATGGCTGCCTTTCGATCGTTAGCTCCAACAAATGTAAGGCACTTATTAAGTTGACACGTTAAAATGGTCAAAAGACAGCCACGTCGATGAAGCACCACGTGGCTACCTTTCGATTATCTTAACACGTAACTCCAGCAAATTAAGGCGCTTATTAAGTTGACATGTTAGTAGAACGATCGAAATAAGTCACTTGATGGTTCATATGGAAACAATTTTGGGGGATGCACATATCTGTAAATAAACTGGTTTTGTAAACACCATTGTTCTGGTTTGAAGAGTGTTAGCTACGCATCAGGGGCAAGACTCGTAGGCCATAGATTGGACGTATATGAAAGAAATCTTTTTCCAGCGAGTAATCCTTCGAAAATCATCATCACTGCTCTCACCGCCACCGCTTGAGAAACAATTTCTCATATCACCTCCATGCTCGCCTCCAGTTGGATGGTCACAAACAAAGGTTGGCTTTTTTATTGTGGAACCTTATGTTTTCCCCAACTAAATAATTTTCTTGCAGGAAATGGCGCCAGTAATTTGCAACTTTGACTTGATGGCTCGTTTGGCGTCGTTTGCTCTTGAAGACAAGTAAGTTCTGCACCTTTAAAATCACTTTAAAGTGTTTGCAGTCCTGTGACGCAAATTCTTTTTGTTGGCTCCTCTTAGAGAGCTTTGGCATCTTCGACCTTTGAGCATTCAATGTTTTCTGCTTAACACATTCACGACAAGGCCGATCTTTCGATGACCGCCATACCAGAACATATTTCGTAATATTGAGTTGGTTCCATATTTTGTGGCCACTGATGGGTCTCACGGTCTGAACTCAATATTGCGAAATGTGCTCTGGTATGGCAGTCATCGAAAAATCGGCCTTGTCGTGAATGTGTTAAGCAGAAAACATTGAATGCTCAAAGGTTGAAGTCGCCAAAGCTCTCTAAGAGGAGCCGACAAAAAGAATTTGCGTCACAGGGCATCAGTCATACCTCGCCGCCGAGCCATTTCTAATCACTACGATTGTTCGTAACCTTCCGTAGTCGCATACTCTGAGAGTAAGATTTGGCATGTACGCATACAAAAGCTGTGCTCCTATGCACTTGAACTCTACATGCGGTGTATTTGCAGAAGTCTGGCAAATTAAGATCGCCGCGTGTGGAGAAATTAAGATCGCCGCGCCTGAGGTATGACCGATGCCTCACGTCATCACTATAAAATTTCCGCCGCGGTAGAAAGAAGTCCCTAGCTTCTCAGGTAAAGAAACGAATACCGCCTATAGGTGCTGGCTTTGTGGGCTACTAGTCCATTGCTACTACATACAGTTCAAGGATCAGTATGTCAGAGGTGGTGTCTGATGGCGGTAGCCCTGACAAGCAAAAGAGTTTGTGGGATTTCTTGCTTGTCGGGCCCGATGCAGCACTGCTAATTTTCGTTTCTCTTTTTTTTTTCGTGAAATAACTTTTATTTTAGATATGAAGTTCACAACGGAGACAAGGATACACCAGCCATTATTATCCACCCCTGTGAAACGCCTCTTGATGCACCGTCAAGCATAGAGATGCCCCGTACCCCACGGCCTTCATCACCTGCTTATTAGGAGGGAATCGCTACAGTTTCTCATTTTGAACATTCTACTAAAAAGTTCTGCTGTATTACAGATACTGACCCCTTTCTCTACCTAGTCGTACCATGCCAAAGATATTTGATGCGCTCATGATGGAGCAATTCAAGGTTCTCTTCATTACATCAGTACTCCATCTTACTTTTCAGATTTCAGTAATTGTTTTCAAACTAGTCAATTAGCTCGTAACATACAAACATTTCGCTACCTCACTATGAGGTTGATCAAGGGTCAGTACATTATTGCATCGTTCCGCTCTCCTCGTCATTGATGCCGGTCTGTCGAGGTTAAGCAATTGCGCGCTATGTTTTTCCTCACAAAGTTTATTTTTTTTGCAATCTTATGCTGCTAGCATACATTCTTGATGCAATTTTCTGGCATCATCTTTTGCGCCCAACTGAGAGTTTTCTTTTGGCGGATTTCAACCGCTTCACTTACTCTAGCGGGACATATTTGACTTAAACGATCGTAATCTGTATAGATGTTGTCAATTTCAACATAAGCTTTATTGTTATACATTTATGGTGGTAAAAAATAAATATTTGTTTGTTTGCCACAGATAATATTTATACTGAACAGAATGTATAATTACGAATCGTGCATTTGGTCACTGATGATCAAGAACATCACAGAAATGTATGCTTGGCAACCCGTTCCCTTGCTTGAAAAGCGTTTACATATAGGTAGGTGGACTACATAATGCAAGTGCATGATTAAAATCTAACTAACAAGGGAAGCTTGTTTAGTCGAAATGGCCTTCAAATAAGATGTATACCATATTAAAAAGCATAAAACGCTGATCCCAATATTGCCTTCCTTATTTTGGCGTTTTTTGCAGTCAAAACTGAATGTGCATTTTGGATAAAATGGGTTGCTAAAGTCTTACTAGCCCTAAAATAATGCAACAAAAGAGACGTATTTATTTTAGAGTATTTTTCAAATAAAGTGCTCTGATGATTATCACTGTTTCATTGAAGAGCTAGAAGAAGTATTACGGCTATTTTTGTCTAATTACGCATTCAATCTCTTGCTTTGATAAGCGCTCATGACTCCTCGTCCATAAATGCTCTACAGATAAGGAAAGTAGATTTGGACATCATTTTATGCCCTTTAGTAAGGTACACATCCCATCGAAAAAAGCCACTTCGACTAAACATGCATTCCTTGTAAGAGGGTTTTCTACGCAAAGTCAAAACAGAAATCTTATCGCGGTAATCCTAAGCATTTTTGAGAAGTTTCGCGGACCTTCTTGAACGCTTGAATTACGATAGCCGCAGAGGTAGAAGTAGTGACCATGGATATTCTAATTGTAAGAGCATCTTTCACAATCAAAATAATTCGCGCCTAAAGCATCATGCTTCCTAAAAAGTGAAGGGAACTGAAGAACTAAACCATGAATAAATCATCTTTCGCAAACACTTTCGTTTTTGACAATGGCCGTAGAACTTTGGCCGCAATTCGTTTCAATTCTGCGTCCCATCTACTCTTATTTTTGCTGAAATCGATATGTTGAGCATGGCACTAACTCTGCATAATTGTAACTAACCTGTACAAGTTTAGGTAGATGGCGAAGAGGATTGTCAGACCTCCCCACACGTAATCCACACTGAATGGTTTTGAAAACAGAACAAATGACAGGATGATTGTGAGCGCCTTGCGCAGCGTTGTGACTGTTACGGTCACAAGAGCTCCGGAGACCTTGAAAAAGTAATAGTCGGGAAATGAAGGCAAGAATATATGAAAAAACCTTGATAAGGGTGATGACTACATTAACACCAAGGTATCCAAGAAAACCGAAAATCAAACCATATCCGTAAGTTTTCCAGGGATTCTAAAACGTGAAAATGAAATACTACCAGTGGGAAAACAAAATATCCCACGAAATTGCAAACTAACATTTAGGAAAAATGCAAAGGCCTCATGGAATTCACCAGTTAAGATTGTAATCACCAGAATATATACAGATCCAATCGAATAAGAGTAAAAAACCTAAACACTATTCAAACTGTAAAAAGCAAGTTATCAATGCTTCATACCATTTCATTACTGGATCCACCATACTTTTTCATGACTTTCTCCTGTAAATTTCCTATAATAGCGTCTGCAATTAGGGCTCCAGAGATCATTATATACCCTCTCGGATCAAAATTCGGAGAAACATGGCTATCAGCCAAAACAAACATAATTAAGCCTGAAAAGTTTTGTCATTACGAAAAAAAAAGAAAAAGAGAAAGAAAAAGCAAGAGATAAGGCTAACCAATGCTCATGAGCGCAGCTGCAGAAGCATCTAACCACCCGTATCGTTTTCCCTGTATAATTATACCTCCAACCAAGACCGGTATGAGCTTGCAGCATTTGAAGATGACCTGCAGTGAAGGCAAGAATGTAGCTACAAAGCATAAAAATACCTCTGAGCAGAGAATGCTTTCTGTTCACTTACAAAAACATAATAAAAACAAGCAGCTAAAAGTAAAAGCAACACGAACCTGTGTTGGATAGTTAAGGTATCCCACTGAAGCGTTAGAGAGACCCATTGTAAGTACAGTAAAGAATGCCAACAGGAAATACACTCTTATTGGTATCCTGTAATCTGGATATAATCATCGATATGAGATTAGCAAAATAGGTCCCACTTCCTACTCCTCTCGTGGTACATAGTCCCTTCTGCCCATCCGCAGATACTATATATGATGAACTGGATCAGAGTAAGGTAAACCCCGAATGGTCTCATACCAGAAAGTTTGAAGATAAGCTCCTCAAATTACATTCATATTTAAGTTCGCATTTGGGTAATGGCTAGAGTGCAACAAACCTGCATATAACCGTATCCAATGTAGAAAACGAAAATCGCTAACGACAGCGATGTAAACTGAAGCCACAGAGGCCTGAAAGTAATTCTTAAGAAAGAGACCGTAAATCACAACTTATTCGTACATATCAAATCAATTGCGAGGTAATCAGAGTAAAGCAGCAAGAAATTGCTCCCGAACCTTAAGGCTTTGGCCATACTTTATCGGTGTTACTCGTGTTACTAGTGTTACCTCTGTTACTCGTCTTACTGGTGTTACCCGTGTTACTGGTATCACTAGTGTTACCGCTTTTATTGCTGTTGAATAGGGAAATGATCACAATACAGTCTCATTTCAAAACGCAACACTGACTGGTGAGTAACACGAGTAACATTAGTAACACTAGTAACACGAGTAGCACGGGTAACAAGAGTAACACGAGTAACACGAGTAACACTAGTAACACCGGTAACACGGGTAAAACATGGCCAAAGGCTAAGTGTAAAAATGTAAAACTTACCAATAAGTAATGTTGAATCCGACTAGATGCAACTGTTCGGACGGTGGCTTCTCCCTAGCATGAGTGGGTAACATGTAACTGGAATTTTGGTATATTTCTCGAAGCTATGAAGAATACGAGACTACTGTGGAATAAAATTCAACTTTCACAATGGTGGCACAAGCAGAAATTTACGGAATATTCAGTAGCTGCATAATTTAGATGCTTGTCATAGATTCCAAGAATTCTTCTTACTTGGCCATAATTCGTGTAACCAGCTCATGATCAAAACTTACTAAAATTACTACCGAATTGTTCAATCTCATATAGTTGATGACTCTAACTAAAGCTAGTCTTGTGCATTTGGCACTGGGCTAGGCCTTTGAACGACTGCAAAGCAAAGGTGAGCAAACTGAAATCGACCTTTGTATGCACAAAGCGAGCAGAAAAAGATAGAGGGAGCTTTTCTGAATTGTTGGGTGAAATCGATACGCTTTTATCTCTGCAATAAACTAGTTACCACAATAAAATTTGCACTGACAACTACTCTAACAATGATTTGATCGATACGTTTTTATTGTTTTTGTAAAGGATCTAAACAGCTCTAATTGATGGCATCATTTCGTTTAGATACCCAATCTGTATATAGTGTAATTGCGGTGCCGGATGGGAGGTTCAAATATGCGTGAACGAATCGGCCATTCCACGACTGTTGCTTCCCGCTGCGTCTTTGATGTGCGACAGACACGGCTAACAAGTTGACAATACGCAACAACATACTAGCAACATGCTGCAACATGCCAGCAACAATGGTTTGGCTAATGGATAGGTTATAGATCAACATTTTGCTGCATGTTAGCCATGCGCGCCGCAGGTCGGACATGTGCCAACATGTTAGCCGGACGTCAGATCAGAGACGCAGACGAAGGGTAGCAACAACAGTGAAAGGGACGATATCGTCGTCTCCCCAGTGTACAATGGGCGGAGCATTTGCAAACATCTGAACACGTTGGTGAACTTGTTAAACCTCCTCTGCAAGGCATTGTCCTTTGTAATCTCTCGCTACCAATTCTGCAATGTGTGACAACAGCATATATAAGCAGTTTAGAGAATACAAAGAAACATACTTTGCAGTAGAGGTTTGACAAGTCACCATCGCGTTCAGATGTCTGCAAATGCTCCGCCCAAAGCAAACCGGGGAGGCGACGATATCGTCGCTTCAAAAACCCACAGCAGGGATCCCTATGGCTAACAAGTTTGCAACATGCAACAACATGTTGGCCATGAGCCTGACAGCCAATAGGTTGTTGCTTACATGTCCATGATGCTAACACGTTGTTGTATGTTGCTCAGTCATGTTGGCCATGCATGTCGCACACTCATCAGAGACCCAGGGGGGGGGGGATAAACAATCGAGGAATGCACAATGCATTCTATTAAGTTGATGCATGATTCGTGCTTGAATTCTGTTACTTCATGCAGCTTCGATGAAATCTTCTAGCTCGATACACAGAGAAAGCAAATTTTGCGCTTTCTGAAGGCGCTTGAGCCAAAATTGCTTAGGGGCATACGCAACGATATAAAGTGAAAAAGAGAAATACCCAAGAAGTGTTTCGATTTTTGGTCACTAAAATTGCTAAAACGTCTACTAGAATCTGGATTTATTTTTGGTCCCAGTTTCATGACATGCCCTTTTTAAATAGGGGAAGTTGGTTGTGAGTGGACGTCTCTGTGAATAGTTACGAATTTTGATTTTTTCGAATTGACTTATTGATTTTGTTTTATATTAGATTTGTAAAATGTACCATAAAGTACTACTTTTGATACACATGGCAAAGAGCATATCGTGTGTTGATTAGTTTGTTCAAGCCTTTTTAGAACAATTTTTTTCTATTTAGTGCAAGAATTGTGCATCAACCTAGTAATTGATTTGACGGTCGTTGTGGGAGCTAATAATTCATTTTCGTGCTGATTATAACGTTTGTCGCAAGATCAGAAAAAAAATTAGTCCCCATGCCTTACTACACATATCCACATATTAGGTAGTCCCAAAAGTAAACCTTCTTTCTCAAATTGTATTTATTTTCCTGGCAGGCTTAAGGCACCATTCGATAGAGCGAAGCAAGCTCTACAAAATGACCACCAAAGAACCGTCTCACTCGCGATCCAAGTAAAATTTGGATTCAAAAATCACAATTTTTCAGCTACCCTAAAAATCGGATCTCCTTCCAGAAAATCCCTTCTGACTTCCAACTTGGCCTTTATATAGCAGACACATAGTAGTACTCAAAAATGTTTTTGGTTAATTTTTTCGGAGCTCAAAATTGAGAAAAAAGATGGTCCCAAAATGCCAAAATGCTACTTTTTTCGAGTTTTTCATGTAAAACTTGGTATTACTCCATTATAAAAGGACATACAAGGGTAAAGTTTCAAGATCATACTTAGTAAGGCTTGTAGTATACAGTGACATTTGTGGGAGGCGGGGGCCGAGTTTGCCATTTTCATATCTGTTTTTTCTAGCTTTCTAAGCTAGGAAAAAATCCAGTAAAGGCATATTGCGTATAGTATGTGTCTAACTGATAATGACCAAGCTTGAGTTCCGTAAGATTGTTCTTCGCAAAAATCCAATTTTCAGGTAATAAACTTTTTTTCGATTTTTGCGCCAAATTTTACCTGGATTATAACATGGGCGGATCTTTTGGAGTCATTTTGTAGGGCTTGCTTCGCTCTATCGAATGATACCCTAAGTCTACTAGGAAAACAAAAACAATTTGATTTATTTACAAATACGGTTTACTTTTAAGACAACCTAATAGAAGCATAGCCTTCAAAAGACTATTCCCAAAATTCCGGAGTAGCAAATAATGCTAAAAACTCGTCTCACTATATTGAATGGATATCGGAAAGGTGAGGTAGAATGTGAAAGATTAGCTGCTATCTACTTGAGTGTCCGCATGGAGAAACTGAAAATTGGGAATCCAAGCAAAAGAATAAAAAATAGATTTTACGGCCGAACAGTGGGAATGAAACATTTCTCAAAAAGCTCAATGCGAATGCGTTAAAAATCAGATTTACAGGCAAAATCAGGCCAAACATTGGTTGCTCTAATAATGTACGCCTTTCAACGCAAGCTTTGATTTTGAGGCCGCAATCTTTGGGACGGAATTTACGAAAAGTGTGAATGAACTGTAGATAATTTGACAGGTATTTATGTGCTGTCTCTACGACACTATCACGGCTTCAGCGGCCCAGGTCCTAGCGGCCGCCTCGCTCAGGCCATGCGCCGCGTTTGCGAACGTACACCTGGGCATTTACGCCTTAGCAGTGGGAGGCTGACGGGTTTGAGGAAACTCCCAGAAGATACGCTCGCAAACGCTGAGCGAGGCTCGAGCGAGACGGCCGCGAAGACCTGAACCGCTGAAGTGTGTACCGTAATTGAGACAGTCTAGCTGAATGCCCACATTTTGTCAACTAAGTGTAAATGTTGCAGTTTGTGGGTAGCTGGCAGTGCTTCATTCAGCAGTGATGTCGTCATCATTCCATTTAATCATCCATTTATTGGACACCATAAAACTGAAAACGAACGTAACTGATAGGAAACGAGATTTGTTGTAGGCAAAGGAAAAAAATGATTGGTCATGAGGCGGCACCATTTCAGAATCACGGAAAAAAGCAATGTTAAGGCTGGGTTCATACTGGGTCTTAAGCGGAACAGTTACAGCATAGCGCACAATTCGAACGCAGTGCTGGAACTTACGGATCAGTATGAACCCAGCCTAAGGTACCTTCGTACTGCACCGGCAGTAGCCGCTAGCTGCCTGTAATCCTTCTGCACACTATTAGTATCCCAAGGCATCTCCAAATCAAACGAAGATATTCGTGATCAGCACGTCGAATAACCCCTCATAAATTCAAGATCCATGTTTCGATTTTCCGGCCCGATATTGAGATAGTGCGCAAAAGCGGCCACAGCAATATGAGGGCATCCTTAGGCGCCAACATAAAATAACTTCACACATATCAAATACGATATATGATTTGCAAAGAAGTTGAAAAGCAAGTCAACTGGTAATTCATTCTTGCAACTTCCTGTACACTTCATGGAAAACGAATAATGAGCGTAAATCAAACCTTCTTAAAATTAAATGTAGCCTCGCGATGAGCAATGGCAGACTTGAGTATCAGCCAGAAAGAGAAATGAGACTTGGGGAGATATAAAAGTGGATTCTTTGCTCACTCAGTAATTCCTGCGCGCTGAGTCAACCGCAATGACTAGGCATATATGAAAATCTCCTCAACAATCTATACATGACTACTTATTAGGGTACTTTTAGGGTACCTCTAAACCTCTAATTCTTTCCATCATACGCTTGATTTTCGCGAATTCCCCCAAGAAGGCTTAGAAAAATCATTACTGTTCAAGAGCATACATAATCTCCCATTTACCAATAAGCTTTTTGCACAGCATTTGATCTGCCGACTTGCTCACAGTAAAAAAAATTTAACTGGTGCTAACAAATCTCTAGTTCAGATTTTTTTTTTGAGATCTGGATTTAAAGTTAAGTTTTCAAAATTAGGATTGAATATTTTCTGCAACAACTTTCTAATTGCACCAAACTAAGAGAGAGTGTAAAGAGCTGCAGCGGACAGAATCGTACTTCATAACTAGACTTGAATGAAGTTGGAAGAATTTTTTCCATATCTTAGTCTCTTACTTATAGAAAACAAAAAATATTGACAAGGGAAGCATTTTTAGTCAAAGTGGCCTTTTTAGATGGGATGCATACAATGTTGAATTGCAGGAAACGCTAATTTTAAATTTGCTTTCATCATCTGCCGAACAAGTGCGGATGGGAGTTATGAGCGTTTATCCGAGCAAAGAAAAATGAATGCACATTAGGATAAAATTAGTTGCTAAATTTTTTCTAACACTCAGATAAAGCAAACAAGTGTGACAGGTCTTTTACCTTAGTGTATTTATCAAATAAAGAGCTCTGATGATTATCACTGCTCCACTGGAGCGCTGAAAAACTTTTACGAATGGTGTTGTCCTATGCACATTCGATATTTTGCTCCAGAAAACGCTCATAACTCCGTCTATAAACTTCCCGCAGGTAAGAAAAGCAGATTCGAAATCAGCCTTTTTTTTGCCCTCCAGTAAAGCCCACATCCCATTTAAAAAGGCCGCTTCGACTAAACATGCTTCCCTTGTGAGCTATGAAAGAAGGTACGAACCACTCTCGACCATATTTTGTAATGTATTGGGTTGATGCAAAAATACTAGCGGTTTTGCAAACTCTCATTTTGAGGTGCCACATTTTCTGGAAAATCTATATTTCTGAATGCGATAAAAACCTAAGGAGCAGCAAACCTTTCGCAATATAGCGCACATTCATCTATACTTCTATACTCGTACGCGATCGGGCAAAAATATGGATTGAGACAAAAACTTTTTTTCCAAAACCTTGTGTTTGACAAATCATAACTCCTGAGAGTCTGGTAGTATATCTTGTAGCCACAAGCCAACAGGACAAAAAAGATGAAGACGACTTGGGCAAAAAGGATTGCTAAAGAAAAAAAATTATTGTCTTTTTTCAACATTTTTTAGTAGGGCTCAATGTCCCAAATTATAGTTTTCTGATTTTCTGCGTACCGAACATCAATTTTTTCTGTAAATATCTTCAATGGGATGCCCTACCCTTACGCTTACAGAAAGGAGCACACCTTTGACGATTGCTTTTTTTGCATGTAATTTATGGGTCACAAAATGATTACAACGAGTACCCGAGTTGAGGCGCCGATAACACGGTCTAGATAATTTGAAGAAAATAGTTATGTGTGCATAATGTTGACAATTTCTTATGAATACAGCAGCTAGATTGTCGAAAAGGCGCCGTTCATTCGCACTCGAGTTCTGGCCAGAAAGTGAATGTAATGAGATTTTGTGTTTAGACGCAATTATTTGAAGCTCTGTAATCTGTTATAGATGAAAATGGAAGCCAGCTTTAATCAGCAATAGATAGAACATGAAAAGGGCTTCTCAGTAGTATGTTGTATTTGTTCCAAAGAAGAAATTTTGGTGGCAAATACTGTCCTTGAACAGGCTTGCAAAAAGGCTATTATTTTTGGACCAACCTATTAATTTCAACCCTAGTGACAAAACCCTTTCGAAAGATGCGGTAGCTGAGAAGTATCTGATGGTGAAAAAATGAGGCCACGTAACGAAAATGAGTCGAATGTCAAGAAAGTGGGTTTAATGTGGTGATTCCTCCCTGGAGAATCTACTAGATATTTGTTCAGTGTAAGGCTGCTTCTTAGTTAAAGCACATAAAAAATATAAGGTCATGCTCTTCAAGTAACTTTTTTATGGGAGGAGAAATCACTAGGACATACATAGTACATGCCCACAAAAGATACCTAGGTTAAGGAACAATCAAAGTATGAGAATGAAGCGCGACCGGCTTGATTCCACGTAGGATGGCGGCGGAGATCTTCAAAAATTCAACAATGAGATTTTTACGAAGATAACAGGCTAGTTTCCGAATCTCTAGATACGGCAAGGGTAGGAAGCGGTGGGTACACTCCACGAGTGCAACAAAAAACGGGACTAACGAGTTTGTGCACATAAGGCTATGGCAGGTGCTGGGCCGAGGAAAAACGGGAGGGGGAGGGGGCAGGAAGGGGGAGCGAAAACTTCTAAAGTAGTTTATTTCTATTACAAAGCTATGAAATCGACTTTTTGCTTGCAAATAGCTGTGGTTTTCAACTGACGGCACCCATGTTTCCTTTCTTAAGAATTTTTGTAGCTACGAACGTAAATTAACAGAGCATCAAAGTTTTGTGCAAAAACAACGCCTCTTTGTCCAAAAGATTGCGTCAAATCCGCCACTCCCTTACATGCAAAAGAATTTCTCGGAACTTCAATAGACCATTCTTATAACCTTTTGAAAAATGGCTTTGGGATGTGGAAGATACAGCTAGAAATCACAATCTGGATCAAGTCAGTGCAGAAGAATGATCAAACACATGTATAGTAAATCCCAAAACGGAACGAAACAGGACTGATCAAAGCGTGAATAACTAATCATGAAACTGAACGGTGCTCGAAAATCGAAGATTATCTGATTCTATTTCAGATAGATATTGCGCGTACATGCACATCCACAACCACATCCACACAAAATATTATTGTAGTTTAGAGGTAAAAACTACTCTGCAAATGCAGTGCTCAAATTGATCATACAACCAGAAGATGAAAGCCCTGAGAAAAGGGTGCGAAGTTTGGTACAGAATTACGACTAGGTGAAGGAGAAATTTGAAGTGCTGTAGGTCCATTCAATCTGATCAAAAGCTTACGATTTTAACGGCAATTACTGCTGTCAGAAAATCGAGAACAGCGTCCTGTGCGAAAACATAAGCAAGGCGCGAATGCAAAGGTTTATAAATAACTGACTGCAAAAGTCAGCACTCCTATTAAATTACACCAGAAAACAGAATCAAAGCATAGACGCTGAAATATTAGATGAGCACAGGAGCACCGACGCGATGAATAAACGCAAGGAACGGGACCAAAATGAGAAGTTTGCATGAGCAGGTGGACATAACAGGTTAAATCAAAACCACAAGATATTTCCTGATTCGATAGTAATTCTCTCCCTAGTTTGAAAAAAAAACTCAGAGCTGCCAATTATAAACGAATAAGAATAATTGTTGCGATCATTCATGCGACGATAAAACTGTGATGAGTAATGGTCAATACTTTCCACTTTTTTGATGATGTGACGATGGATGAAAGCAGTGTCTCGGCAGAGTTTCCTCCATGTTTCACATTTTAGAGCCTTCTCGATACGAGGAGTCCATATCTGGGCTTTTTAACGCATGAAAATGGTAAAAATGAGCTTTTTCCGAAGTTTTCCGCTGCATTCAGTGAAGATACGCCGGAAGTTTTCCGCGCCCCGCCTTCCTCGTTTCGGGCCCGCCCACTTGCACATATAACCCACTAAATGCGAACCTGGGAAACTTCGGGAAAAACTCATTTTCGCCACTTTCATGCACTGAAAAACCCAGATATGGGTTCCTCATGACGAGAAGGCTCCGAAAAGGTGAAAATCTGAAAATCAATTCTGGCGAGACACTGCCTTTCAGCTAAACATTTTCGTGGCAACGGCGCTAACACTGAAAACGACTAAGTTTTTGTTGGAGTTGTGTAAATATTAGAGTCCCCTATACAGTCTTGTTTCGCATCCGTGGTTATTGGGCTAATTTCTTTTGCATTTACAAAGGCGCTGGCATCTGGAGGAAAGAACTCTGCGAAAACAAGTGCACTGTTTACTGCGTCTCTATAGCGCAAATTATAGTAGGCATTAATGCAAAAATTGACTCAAATTTTCGGAGCTCAAATTGTACCGAAATTTTGCTAGTCGCAATGATTGACACGATATTGCGGTTGTGGAGATGTCGCATAAGGCCCCGGACAGACTTCACGCGATTTGATCGTCGCGATTCAATCGCCGCATTTCCATTCATTTTCATTTCACATTCAAAAATTTCGGGCTGGAAAAGTATCACAACCGAAATGCAAGTTGATCGGCATGGAATGATGTTGTAACAGTTGTCTCGTCGCGATTCAGTCGCGACGATCAAATCGCGTGAAGTCTGTCCGGGGCCTAATACAATTCTCGTAAGAATGACAGGCATTCTGTAACGGAGCGGAGACTACTGCTAACTTTGCACTGGCCATTCGACAGATAATGACGCTCAAAATTCCTGCAAAAAAATAATACGCGACGTTCACCTGAATATGCCAAAGTAGCCTAAACATCTCTCGCTACGGAATGGACGAAATCTGACTCCCATGGCAGCACTTGATTCATCACGACGACGCGCAGTGAAATAAAGATAAACAAGCATTTAGACCGTATTTGATGTAGAATCTCCTCTTTTCAGCATATTTTAAGGAGAATTTTTATGCAAAACGCTTAGGAAAACAAAGTTTCCAGCTCATCGTTTATATCTGTCCAACTTTAGCTGAATTTGCATCTCTCCACGCTCGTAAAAATTCCGTAGAGGAAAACTTTGTCAGTGTAATCCTGTTTTCAAGGCCCTTCAACTGATTTTTCAGTTTTGAACTAATCGTTTGTACGAATTCCACAATCTCGTGAATGACGACTCAACAAATACTTACGATTCAAAATTTGAGGTTCTAAAAATTGATTGATCGGATCCCTAGAAGTAAGCAACTTTCACCGATTCAGAATATGAAATTTTCAGTTGAACCGTACGCAACTGTAGGATGGAACAGCGAATTTGTTTTCTGCATGTGCAAAGAAGACCAGCAGCCAAAAAGTTGAGAAAGAGCAGCGATTAGTACCTAGATCGCTAACCCTGATTCTTTGAGGTATGGATAAACCGACTATGAGATTAGGCTACTCCAAAAGATAATTTGTAAAAGTTCTATAATGTCAGTTGAGTAGGTGCGAAAAAAGGGCAATGCGAAAAATGCTCCGTACTGGTTACCATAGCTTTTTCAAAGGTCGATAAGATCTGTTAGCTAGCTTATACAAGGCACGAGAGTCAGAAATTTTGAGGTATCTAGATGCACGCTGAAATTATCGCCAATTATAAGTTAAAAAAGAGAATTCTATCAAGACTTCTCAGAGCGGGGTGAGGGAACTTAGGAACCCGAGCCTAATTAGCTCGATTCGGGGAGTGCCTGTAGGTTACAGTCATGCTCGCTGTCTCCGATTACTCACTAGGACATAGCAACAATCTAAGCCCCGCCCCTCTGAGAGCCTCTTTGGAACCTAGCCAAGGAATGCTGAAAATCTCAATTGAATTTCAGGGCTGGCTCTAAGCCAAAAACCTTCAAAGTGATCGTAAAGGTGAAAATTAGGCTCAAACGAAAGAGAAAAACCATGCCATCACCACAAAGTATCTACTGATGAAAACTGACTGAACCCAACATTCTCTTGGTTCAAAACTTTATTTAAGTGTTAAATTACTGAGAAATTATTCAAAAAACCGTCAAGTTTCAGAAAAACAAAAGACTAGAATATCATTCGAGAAATGACAGTACAAAAACTTCTCAATATTGATAGTTATTTTAATGCTGAAATTTAGGCGAAAGACTAGAAAATCAATTGCGAAACGACAGTTTATAAAATTCTCAAAAATAAAGGTTTGTTTGTGTGCGGAAGTCTGGGCAAAAGACTAGAATATCAAAAAATGACAGTTCAAAAACTTCACTAATGATTTTGCTGAGTCCCAACGACAGACGATTCTGATGTGCGAAGAACATCCTGCTAATATGCTGGAAGCACTAACCTTAACCTACGCAAGGAAAGGTTGCAATACAGTTTGAGGAGGAATTTTCCATAAAATAGTAGCATAAAGGGTGAACCATTTATCGTTACTATCGATATCTCAACTTCCCATGTCTTACGACAATTATTTTTATTCCCACATGCAGCATCTGCTGCAACAATTTTATTCATCGGCAGACCCCAATCCTGTTCCTGTACTAAAATTGAAGCCTCATGTGATTTTGATAAGATCAGCTCAAATTAAAAATAAATTTATACATTTCAGCCGTTGTACACTTCGTCCGCTGGTTTGAGCGAGCAGTACTATTCTGATATTTTACCGACTGCTATTCAACGGAACCACTAGAGCTACTGTTTACCTTGAAATTAATTCAAATGCTACACAAACGAAAACGTTACATACTCAGAATACTGATATATCGAATACTGTGCCAACGGCAAAAAAACTGTTATTTCTGAGAAGTTCTTGATTTGTCATTTCTTGATATTTTAGTCTTTTGCCCAGATCCTCGCACACAAACAAACTTTTATTTTTGAGAATTGCATAAACTGTCGTTTCGCAACTGATTTTCCAGTCTTTCGCCTAAATTTCAGCATTTAAATAACTATCAATCTTGAGAAGTTTTTGAACTGGCATTTCTCGAATGATATTCTAGTCTTTTGCCCGGATTTAGCACTCAAATAAATTTTTTCTGAAACTTGACGGTTTTTTATAATTTCTCAGTAATTTAATACTTACATAAAGTTTTGAACCAAGAGATTGTTGCGTTCAGTCAGTTTCGATCAGTAGATACTTTACGATGATGGCATGGTTTTTCTCTTTCGTTTAAGCCTAATTTCACCTTTGTACGATCACTTTGAAGGTTTTTGGCTTAGAGCCAGCCCTGAAATTCAATTGAGATTTTCAGCGATCCTTGGCTAGGTTCCAAAGAGGCTCTCAGGGGGGCGGGGCTTAGATTGTTGCTATGTTCTAGTGAGTAATCGGAGACAGCGAGCATGACTGTAACCTGCAGGCACTCCCCGAATCGAGTTAATTCGGCTCGGGTTCCTAAGTTCCGTCCCCCCTCAAAACGACTTCTACGCTTATACTACCAGATATGCTGATAGATCCAAAGAACGTTGCGAACTACTGGATCGACGTATTAGGTCGCATACCTGTTGCCCTCACAATAAGCTCACAGAAAAAAGGACATGTTGTTTCCTTTTCAAATAGCAAAACGGCTACTGATGTGTTATCTGCATTTTCATTTTAGTTTCCTTTTTTTGCAACTTGAGCTTATCTGTAAAAAAAATTAACCTGCCCCCCATGGCAGAGCAATTAGCACGAGAAAAGCCTATTACCACATCATTTCCGTTTAAACTCGAGTACATCTAGCACGCATGATTTAATGGGAGCTGGAATGACATTTCAATGTGGAACACTGCACCGGTGCAAGGAAATTGTCCTAGATTCGAGAATCTCTCCAAAAAAGTTTGCAAATTTGAGCTCATCAGAATGCAGACTATGGGACGAAACCGCAGCAAGTCCAAGCCATGCAATACAAATGATTCGGGACAAGTATGCAGTCAGACACAGCGATCAGAAATGCTTCGAACGTTTAGTGTGGAGATGAAAAGCAATGAAATTGCAGTAGTGATCGCTAATACATAATGTCGACGTAGAGGATGCCACATCGTCGTTTTGCTATTCGGAAACATTCTGATCACCTATTTACATCTACCGTAGCGCAGTACGACGTTTCACGTATTTACATTCATATCTACTAACAAGTTTATGAGCGCGTTCTAAAGCTTCGGGCAGAGTTCACGCGATTTCATCGTTGCGATTCATCGCTACAAGACAAGTGTTACGAGTTCATTGCATGCCGATCCTCTTGTATATCTCGGTGGTGATAGTTAGTCACGGTAGTCGTGTTGGAAAACAACCGAAATGTAAGAAGATCTACATACAATGATATTGTCACCTTGTCTTGTCGCGATCAATCGCGACGATCAAATCGCGTGAGGCAAGGGACATACCTCAAGCGATTTCAGTCGCCACGCGATCTGGCAATTTGCCAGATGTTTTCAAATTCAATACTGGTAGACATCAAATGTACAGCATTTATAACTTTCGTAGGTTGATAAAATGCCTCATCTTCCGTACATTCGGAAACCCCGTACGATGAGTTATGAACGTTTGGAGTATTGTCAAATCGCGTCGCGACTGAAATCGCGTGAGGTATGTCCGAGGCCTGAACTCTGCCCGAGGCCTAAAGCAATAAGTGCGAGTAACAGAAGATAATGCAGCAACCCAGAGTACACGCCAGTGCAATGGTAATCTATTGTGGCAGAGTTGGTTTTTACTCGGTAATCAGTGCTGCATACAGTCGACTAAACTCCCTCACTGATATGTGCGCACAATTTACATGATGAGTTGGTTATACTGTTCTACTATGGCTCGATTTTCCTCATTTTTAGGCACATGCTTGCTTGAATAGGCCAAAATACAGGAGCCTAACATCTTGTAGCATGTGCAACTACACACTAGAAACGCAATCTTACGACAGCTAGATACGCGCCGCGTTCGCGCCCGCTCAACTGTTGTTTGCGTCTTCGTCCGCGGTAGCCTTAATACTTTATCACAGAACGCTGGAAAAAAAGAACATTGAAGGGCACAGAAAAAAATCGACAGACGCATGCATGGTTGCCACCCGTATTTCAAATAAGCAGGGTCGCTGATTCCAGTTGCGAAGCAACGCAAGATTTCCCGTGGCTGTTTTTTTGCTGTCTGGAGACGACAGCCATTAGGAATCTTTTTGACAAGCACCAATGGGCTTTGGAAGCGGAGAATTTTCGATTTGCACATGACACTCGGCACTGAGATTTCTCTTCCCAACTTTACAGTCGCAAGTACCGTACAGTCAGGGGCTTTGTAAATCTGGTAACTGCTGGTAGTCAGAGCCATAAACTTCAGCACTTAGATTTCCTCCACGCGCTATCACAACACCGCAAACTTCCGGACACAATAGGACAAAGATAGGCATCACGTTACTAAGAATACGCTTAAGATACTAAATTCTTCATAAAACAACAAAACAATTTATTTCAACAATTAACAATCACTTCTTAGAGTCAAAGTACTGTTGCAAAACTTGTTTGCCTTGATCTTCATTACCGTAGTCTTTGACTACTGCACAGGAGCATCCAACAACTTTGCGAGCCTTGCCTTCCTTGTCGTATTTGCACAGTCCGCACCACTCGCCTATGATCTTCTTGTCGGCAACTTTGATGAGTGGAATGTTATGCTCATTGCAGAGGGCTTCCACAAGTTTCACGTACATTGGCTCATCGCAGTTCTCAGCGAGCACGCAGAAATGCGCCTCACGCCTGCAATAATGGAGATAAGTTTAGGTGCTGGTAGCATTTTTCATACACATTAGAAAAAATCTTATATGTCAGTAATGTTGCTTGAATGTGTTACGTTAGGATCGAGAAAAACTAGCAAAAAATGAAGAACGTAGTACAAAAGCAAGATCTTGACAAGAAAGGCTTTCCGCTAGAGAAAAAAAGCGATAGCTACTACTCCTATTCCAACTTCTCCTCTCCTACTCCAGATGATGTACTGCTGCTCAAAATAACGTTTGAAAGGTTTTATGAATAAGAAGTTTACAAGATTGAGTGTTGGCTTCCTTTGGCACCCGTAATGGTGGATACCAAGGCGGATGTGGCAAGTCGGCCCATAATTTCGCACACGACAGGTAGAGGACAGACCATTTAGAGATCGAATACTCCGTTTATGTGTGCACCTTCAGTATAAATCTATAGCGTAAGACTTTGCCATACTTTATCGCCCTCACCGTTGTTAGAGCTTTTCCATGGTAAAACGATCAACCTTGCATTCTCCTTACTTCTCCGTAAGCTAATACCTCGCCGCGTGAGGCTACTTCACTTTTACATGCATCTGATGTGAAGGATAACATGGTCATCACCAGATTGCTTACGGAACCCCGAGGCACGACCCAAACGGATTTGGAGATGATCCTTTGACCAGAAAATTTACCTCCAAGTTCCTCAAATCGACTCCAATACCTGTAGCTTGCTCACAACCTCCATCTTTGCATAGTTTTGTGAGGAAAACCGTCAGTAAATGGCAAGCGAAAACATGCAACAATGCAAATTCTGCATTGCTAAATTCTAAGGTACTGTAGCTGGTTTGTGGGATTTGATAGTGACTTTTTTGGCCGCAAGCGTTTTACATACGTTGCCGCTCGGGCAGTGCCTTTAGGAGCCCATACCAAGTCCCCAAGTCAAAGCTGAAGCCCCAATTGATCCCATTTGCTTATAACTACCTTCAAAAGCAAGACCCCGGTAGCAATAAACCGTGACTGTAGTGACAGCGGTAAAGCATGTCTACACATCCAACGCTCAGTCAGTCCAAAATTGAAGCAAAAAAGCCCATTTTTGCTCGAAACAAGAACTACGTCCATTTTCAAATTAGCAGCCTTCAAAACTTACTTGTCTAGGGCTTTTGCAGCCTCATGGAGACCCTTTGCCAGTCCATCGGCGAAGCTAGCTGAGCGAAGGACAGCCTTCAAAGCCCCTTGCACGTCCATAACCGCTGGTGCTGCAGCCGATGGGACTTTGACTTCATCTCTACAAACCAAATGGTGATATACTTAGTTTAGCGGAAGCAATAAAAATGCGTGTACGAACCCTCCTGCGTCAGCCATTTGTTCTGGTGCAAGAGTCCTCGATGATCAACTGAAACTAACAGTTATCACCTCCTCGAGCATAAGAACACTATATAGACTAGAAAGTGGTTGAAACAGAGTTGCTTCAGACATAGGACTATCCAGAATGACTAGCAGAAAAAATAGGAGACAAAAACGATGGAAAGCGTTTGCGATTGCCTCACGTCGTGCCCCAAATCCAATCCTCGCACACACACTGCGTATCGACAGGTTTATGCACGTGAGCAGTCGATGCGCTTCTTGCTTGACGCCGCGAAGGTTGTTGTTTGAATTTTGAGATAGTCTTTTTCATTTTTTTGGTTTTTTAGCTTTTAAGAAAGCCTTTCTGAAGTGGGAGGGTATTTCATGGTTGCAAATTTGAAAGGTTTATGCAGGCAGAGCCTTCGCATGCTTACAGGGGGATGGTCAGGAGTCGAAATGGCCAATCTAAACAAACTTAATACTACTAGATGCAGCATAAAATGCTGACTTCGACTCCGTATTCCATATCTGCTTAGCGCCAGTTTGGGCGAGTCATGTGCCGTTAAAGGTCGTTATTTTGCTAAGGGATCGTGCATGCAAGGCGCAAATTTGGCAGTACAGAGCTATGTTTGGCTTAATGCTGTGCCAAAACGTGCAGCTAGGTTACTTTATATTCTTGAAGCCTGAAGGTGAGCAATGCGATTTTTTTGCGATAAAAAATGCTCATAACTTCGTGAAGGCGCTAAGCGGATGTGGAGTACATAAATTAGCTTTGAATGGTGCATCGAACTATAGGCAACTTGCTTGGATTGACCACTTTAACTTCTGACCATTCCCTTGCTAGCAGAACTGCTTCGTTCCGCGGCAAGTTTTTTCGTTACTATTCCAAATTAGTTGACCCAGAAATTGAAAAACGTAAATTTCGCTAAAACTTTGCCGGGGGGGGGGTTATTCGGTGTGCTGAACACGAATATGATGTTTATTTCATGCGACAGGGCCATCCGGTGGAGTTACGGTAGGATTCGGTAGGGGGTCAAAATCGCGGATTTGCCCGAAACTTGGCCCAGAGGGGTGTTTCGCCCCTCTGATGCCAAATATCACATTGGTTTTGGACCGTAGCGTCATTTTCTCGGGTTACGGTAACTACATGGTAACGGGTGTAAAACATAGTTCTGCCTGAAACGGGTATACGGCGATTCGGATGATCGTGAAGCTTTGCATACACGACCACCGCGCGCCCTACACAACCTGCTGCGGCTTTTGCCTAAGCAAAACACAGGGGAAGATACATTTGCCGATTTGTGATTTTGACCCCTATAGTAAACCTACGGTAACCATGCAGGGAGACATTTTCGTGCGGAGAAAGTGTGACGTTTCTAATCAGCATGTCGAATAGCCCCTCTGTGCGAAGTTACAGCGAATTTTGAGATTCTGACCCCTATCGTATACCCACCGTAACCCGAGAAAATGACGCTACGGTACAAAACCAATGTGATATTCAGCATCGGCCGATTAACCCCTCTGGGCCAAGTTTCGGACAAATCCGTGATATTGACCACCTACCGTGGTTCTACCGTAACTCCACCGGATAGCGCTGTCGCACAAAATAAACATCATATTTGTATCAACGTACCAAATAACCTCCCTAGACCAAGTTTTAGCGAAATACACGATTTTCATTTCTTGGGTCAACTAATTTGGAATAGCGCCGTTTTTTCTGCAAATGTTGGTATCTCAGTTATCAGCTCAGCCGCGATGTTTTATGAACTAGAACGACAACAACACTTTCAAAATGCGGACCAAGGCGTGTTTAGTGGAAGAAGAACGAGAGGAACCTTCTCTTCTGAATTTCATCTGCCGTGCATCCTTGGAATAAACGCATGGCTCGGAAATAAATCTCACTTACCTAAAGTTTCTCACCTTATAGACTACGTCGTGTCAATCTTCTTTACAGACTCCTTCGATTTTTATAGACATTTATAGATATTATGACCCATTTCAAAAGGGGCATTTGTGATACTGTTGGATTGCTCTGTGCTCATTTTGCTTTATCAGTTTTAACAATGAACGAAGTATTTAAAAAATATAACCATCATCTCAGGTGCCAGCGTGCTGAGGATGGATGATTCGGTAGCCACAGATCCGAAAAATGTTGAAGAGGCGAATATCGCTATGGACGCGATCATGAAGGAAGTGGTGGAACGCTTGAAGTTCCGCTCAAAATGTTTGATAAATGGACAAGAAAATATTCTAACGCTTGCCGAGTATGAGGTAATCTTTTGTTTGTCATGATTCTTTTTTATTGTCTTGCCGTCTTGTTTTTGTTTTATCATGCCACATTAACTTGGCACATTTTATCCATGTTTGTGAGAGAGAGCGGACCTCACGAGACGTCTCTGACGTATTGCGAAGAAGAACGAATACCGCCAATAGTAGGGGTTCTGCCGCTTATGGTCCATTCACGTTATACTGTGACATGTGCGAAAGGACCATTTTTGCAGCGTCTGTTGGTGGTACTCATTTTATCCCTCGAAATTTGTCGATCGAAAGTGAATGGGGCTTCTTTTCAAGTTTCTGCTCATTGGTGAACGACCTAGTTTATTGCTTGCATAGAGATTCAGCTTTGTTGCCGTCAACTTGACTACTTTGTTTTGTAGGCTCTTTTCCAAGAAGACATGAAGATCTGCGAAGGTGCGGTTGACGTTCTTCTCACTTTAGCCAAGCAACAGAAAGCTTATCTCGAAGTTTTGGTGGGTATTCTTTATTGCGACTTTCATTAATCTTCTCTTTTAGCTTTTATCGAAAAAATTGGAAAGACAGCTACCATTAGTTGCAGAAAAGGCTTTGACGCAGGCTCTGGAACAAAACACAAAAGCAATAGGTAGGTAACTAGGGTTTGTAATATTAGCTGTTCTGATGCCGCGCACATTTGCAGAGCTCCGGAAAAAAGTTATCGAAGGCGACTTTTCATTCTTCATCGGTAATGTTGCAAACAAGTTGCCAACTTCTTTGGAAGACGAATCATCTTCTTTATCCACGGCAAATTTGCCATGTTCCATTGCTAATGCGAAGAATGACTGTGCTGCAGAACAAACAAGGTTTGCTTAAATACTATCATCTAGTCATTACATAAACTTCCAAAATTTACCTATCATTGATTGTACGTCAGAAGTGGGACATTAACGATTCGCTGCTAACTGTCAAAAATCCGATTCTGACATTTGGTGCTGCCTCACTTGGGCTGGAAACATTATGGGCATTTTTAGATTTTGCCTATTCCACACTCTTCGGATGCACTCACACTTTTAGTCCTTGTTTATGTAACAAAACCAAAAAGTGCACTTTGAGTCGTGCTTCAGTGAGGTAGTTCATAGAAATGTCTATGGCGGACAAAGGCTTGAAATCTAGGGACGCGAACGCCGTTTTATTATTATTAGCCTTAGAGCGCATGAGGCGCAGGTTTACAACGGTTATGATACACCGTGTTCGCGCCTGCTCAGCTAATATTGCTTTTGCGCCTTCTTTCGGCAGTAGACTGTAGCTTGACTATCGCATAACTATTTTTTTTGGTTTTCGCCTATGTATTGTTTCAGAGTGCTATCGACAAATGCTGACAGTATTGCGTTGGGAACATTTCGTATCAGAGAGCGTGGGTTACAATTTTGTTGTTGTCCGCGTTAGGAGGTTTTGGTCCTACCTTTTGATTAGGTTACGCCAGCGTCTCCTAATTATTCGATGTTTCAGGGCCAAAGTTTTCGTCTGAAACTGCTAGAAGAGTGTTGGGTGAGATCAATCAAGTGGAGGAGATCCATAAGAGCATCAGAAAACCTTTTGCTAGCGGGTAAGAATAATTTTATGTTGTTCATTCAATAAGCTTTATACTCAGGAGTTTTGCCAAAACATCAATAGATGTAGGTGACACTTGTCACGACTATTCTGGGGATCGACAACTTGGAGAAAGTAAGTTGATGGCTTATCTTGATGCTAACTCTCTAGAACCATGTTACAGCAAAACTCAATGGAAAGCACATCTCGGCATCAGGTGGTTGTTCATTGGATGGTTCTATAATGGACTCGGGTGAACATAGTAGCGGACAAAATGGTACGCAGTAAACTTATGAATTGTTAGCGGTTGTATATTATCAGTTTACCTCTTCTTTCACTAGGTCTTTGTGCGTATTCTCCGGTACGTGACATTCCTCCTCCGCCCAATTTTGATGAAAGCGAATTGGATTCGTACTATGGGGTAAGTGTCGTGCTGTAAACCAATTCAATCGCTAAATGTCATACTGAAGAATTGTATTATTTTCCTATTCAGTTCATATTTAATGCTCCATTACCTAGGAATGTGACATACCTTCTGGAAGGAACGCAACCGGAGATGCGTCATCAAAAAAGCCTCTTTACTCGAAGGATTCTAGCAGTTATCCATCTTCGAAAGAAGACTCATCTACGCTAAGCGGGGATCATCGAAACGTAAAGGTAGAAGATAAACTCTTTGTGAAGGGTGCTTTGTGCTCCAAGCCGAGGTTCATTTTACTGCAAGTTACTTTTCGACCAGTTAACGTAAACCATGACAACGTTCTCCTAAGACTAATCATCGCACTAAAACCTGTGATGCGTTCAGACCGAAGTTAGGGCACCCGCGTGCTCTCTACAAGGAGGCCTAGAAAAATTGGATGTTAATAAGTACGGCATGCATAAGACCTTGCTCATTGTCCCTCCCCTACAAGTTAGGGGGTGGGATGTTGCCCATGTTGCCTCGCAACGAGGTACTGTATGGATCATGCATCTTTTAATTTATTGACTTTTATGTCAGCAAACCCAAGATTGTTTGACATTCTTACACACAAAATTACCGTTGCAGTGCTAGTCAGTCACCGAGGACATAGCTAAGCCGACTTGTGCAATCACTGAAATATACTGTATTCCAAACATATGCAAAAATCATCACCATTTATCTTTCAGAATCCGACAACAACGGTTGACGACACTGCATGGATGTCTTCATCATATGTTCCACGACCTAGACCCAAGTTCAGCTCATCAGTCGGTCGGATGTTCAATCAAGAGTAAGACAAGATAGCAAGCTGAGTTTTCAGTGAGTTCTAATATGTGCTTATGTGCAAAAGAAGCAACCTAATGTTTGCTCATTCATGTACTTCTTTAACTTACAAGACGATGATCTTACTAACTGAGTATTTCTTCCTGCAATTGTGATACAACCTAATTTACCTTCGTTTACATCCCATGATAATTAACCACGATGTCTCCATGATTATTATACTCTTTTTTATCACCAGCCCAATAACAGCGATAATTCTGACAATGAATTTTAGTTTTATGTACAAAAGTAGCATTCCATAAGAAATCAGTTCACTACAAGCAAATAACTATAACAGACTCAAGGCGTATTAAAATTCAGTCAATGTAACAAATTTTTGAACAACGCAATATACAATTCATCCCATGAGATTTTAAATCCATTATGACTAGAAACTTGAGATTCTAGACTTGTCTAGCAAAACTGAGCAGGGTGTTCAGGCATGTGAAAATGGTGAGAATATAATAATTCACACAGGAATTAGAGATGATCCACGATAGTTCACCATTTTCTTGATTTGCTCAGGAGTAAGACCTCCCATGCGAGCACCTGTACTATCTTTCTTACAATGTCGATCTTGCAGTGACATCAAAGCACATTCCACTAGTGTGGGTGGCTTAAATTCAAATTCGAGAGATTGCGATAATTTCAAGAAATCAATAAAATACTACCTGTAATGGAGCAATAGCAACTGCTCGTATGCCGATTAAAATGAGCGAGTTTTCTCCCACGATAGTATAGAACATTTGATCTACTCCTCCTGAGAATCGTGCCCATCCACGCTGTTCGCATAGAAATTCACATTTCTCATGATCTGAATTAACGTAAAGATAATTCAACAACAGAAAAAAACTCAACAAAAAAGCTAATGTATGGAGAGGCAAACTACATACACTTACCAAAAGTAACTCGATAGAAAAACTGCCTTCGCCCAGCTTTCATCCTTGCCACAATCACTGGTCCATCACTGTAAACAGTAAGTGGAGATTCGACTGCACCAACTCTGCGTCCAGCTCTTCCAAATGATTCATGCAAGCCTCGCACATTCAGCCTGTCCAGCTATAATTAGGCAGAATTTCGAGTTCAAAACCATGAACTTCTCCTGCTTACGTTTAGATGTGATCCTGGAGCAAGATAGTATGGTCGCCAGGTTTTTGTGTCGGGATTGTATACCACCAAAGAGTGATCATCACGAAGACGGGCGAATACTCGTTTAGCTAAAAGAGGTACATTTTGCATAAATTGTTGCAAAATCGATACAACAGAAAAATGGCACCAGAAGTTGGAAGCCGATTTAACCTTTCGAAGCGGTCTACAGTCTGCGTCAATCACGTGCTCCCTTTCCCGTAAGCTCGCCACGCCGGGGGGAACACGCGGAAGGCGACAAATGCCCTGGAACAGGCACGACTAGTGGCCACGCCCTGTCCGAGTTCTCGTCAACACTCGTCCTTCCAATCTTTGTACTGGAGCGCGTCTGCACGCTTTCTACATGTTTCGGTTCTTGTGTGATACATTTTTGTCTCTGTTCTTGTCTATCCTTTACGGTTTTATATTTTTCACCTTTTGTGTGAACATATCTGCTTATAGGGGTATGAGATGTATCATTGAATGCGGGAGTTCCTTCATGTAGTTGCACATATAAGCGAGCAAGAGGAGTCGTCACCTGACTCATCAGAGGTATGACCTTTCTTGTGTTCTGTGCTCTACTTTTCCATTTCATCATTTCCCTATTTAGATATCACCTTACGAATGTCCTCCCCCTATTAGCTAGCGTTTTCGTTATCATCAAAATGTTTGCGCGACTTAATCATTCCATTTTAGTTGAGATATTCGAGGAAGATCGCTTTCAACTTCGTGCGCCATTGCTATGGAATTATGAGGTAAGAGCTCTCACTCATTCGTTCTGCTTGAACTTCGCCGATCGTTTTTTTTTTTGAAGGATGGATCTCACGCCTAAGTGCAATCGAACAGAGGAGAGCTCAAGGGCCATTGACGTGAGCATTGTGTAAACTCTGCTACTTACACTCGAGTTATCAAAACCAAATTCTACTTAAGTTTAACTTTTGTGTATTCATATGTTTTTTTATTTTAGCTATCCTAACGGTCCTAGGTTCTTGCCTTTTCTTGAAGAAATGGTTAGACTTAACATGACTTCATTGACTTGTAAGCAGTATTTCTGTATACATAATGGTCCCTGATACCGTTGTCGATAATGACTATGTGGAACAAATAGACTTACAAAAGTACTTTGGAAACTTTGTACAGGGATTTCTTGCTTTTGAGGTGAAGTTGTACTCTACATTGCTGAGTGATATTATCATTTTCTCTTTTTGTCCTATATCTGGTGCGATTTTGTTGCGAATAAAGTTGTTTTTCTTTCTGCCCTGTCAAACGAAGAATAGTGAGCAGAAAAAATAAGATGAACTTAAGTATTGACAAAGGCTAAATTCTGAAAGATATCGCGGCTATATTGAGTTCGAGGTCCGGCTGGATACAAATTGAATTTGACATTTTGCCTGAAAATGAGGATTCTTCTTACTTTGAGACTCGAAAGAAAACTGCTTTGCAGCATTTATTGTGTTTGATTCATCTCTATCCGAATGATAGCTACATAACTGCATAGAACTGATGCAATTCCGTTATTCTTATTCAATGCAGAAGCTAATCGAAATGTCATCGGCTTCCAGATTCGTAGAGGTGTGGAGGCGGAGTCTTGCCATCTCACAGCAGGGCGGTTTTTGCTAGCGAGAGAGTACGAAAAGCAATGCTATAACATGGAGGTTCAACAAGTTTATCCTTGTTACCAAACAAAGTCTGCAACACACCTCCACACGAACCTGGCAACTGATCATATGCGTGAGTTAGATGATGACCGAAATCGAATTTCGCTGCCAAATCTCACACTCAATCAGTTAGCTATCAGCAAACAATCTACGAGTCTACAACTTGCGCTACGTAACTTTCCTTATACACCGAGTGATCACATCTACCAATTTTACACAACGAACTCTTATGGACAAAACAGATTAGTCGAAGAGGGCACGACCACCATTCAGGTGCCAGCCTATGCGCCACAAGAGCGTCAATCTGACTAATTGACTCGAGGCCAGCACTAAACAGCAGGCAAATGGGAGGCGTGGCCATCGTTCCCTCTCCTCCGCTGGGTTTTGTCGCCTTCCGCACCACACCCCCACGCCGGAACTTTGCGCCATGTCCGCGCACTATGGCTTGAGAATATGAACTGGCTCCAACTGGAGGTCCGCACGCAAAGCCCTCGCGTTCTGCAGGTGTAGTTACGCGGAAGGGAGTACGTACCGACACAGACTGTACGCTAGACTACGGTAGTTGTTGGTCATTATATCAAGACCTAGAGTATGCCGGTTGTGTAGATTAATCAACATTCCATCTTTAATTACCGCATACAGACTTCTTATAGATTGATTAACCAATACATTGAAAGCATCTCCATGCATATTTTAGGTTTCGATGCAGAAAATGAAAGGCACCTCGCTGGGTAACAACCCAGGTCCCACTGCAAACACTGTATTCCAAAAAGAAAATCGCTCCAAAAGGTGCTTGCTGGTGGGGTCGCCACATCCATCAACGCGTGTGGAGGTAATGAGCCAGAAACTAGCTCAGCCTCCTTGTAATTGAAATAACCATAGCCACTAGAAATCCGCGCCATCAGTCTGCCTTTCAGGGAAATATATTCGTCAAAACTCGACAAATTTCTCGTATTTGAACGCTCACAACTCCTCTCAGATGGTCGCTTGGCAGGTAGTGAACATATATTCAAATAAGCGTTTTAAGAGCAATCCGTTGATACAGCTTGTTTGGAATGCTAGCTTAAGTTCTGACCATTTCCTCGTCAGCACTATCTAGCATTGTCAAAAATTCTCCCTTGTATAAAAGAGATCTGAAACCGGAATCGTACATAGAGACATCTCTAGGTACGATTCCGGTTTCGTGCTCACCACTCTAGATTAAACACGTTGATTGGCGTGGCGACCCCAGCAGCATCCAACTTCTGAGGCGAATTCCTCGTTTCGGAATATAGCTTTAGCAGTGGGACTTGGGTAATTACCAGGGTCAAGCAAGGGGTGTGGCACACGATCGCTGGTTACGACCCCCCCCCCCCTGATTGCTGTCTTAATAAGCCCCCCCCCTGAACTATATACCTAAGATAGCATTACCAGAGTTGAGAAAGAGGGCAGGCACAAGTCTTTCGACCCCCTCCCCTCCCATGAAAGCCCTCAAACGACCCCTTCTTCCTCCTCTTAACCTCTGGACCTCAAAGTGTGACATTCTGGTGGACACCATCTTTTTCTAGAGAGTTTTCGGATTTCTGAGAGCTGTACGCCCGATTTTCTGTGACTGCACTTTACAACACACGTAATTTGAAGGCTGATTTTGATCTGAATGGGCATATTGAAAGGGCCATAATTTTTTTATGGGTGGGGCGTTCGGCTCCAAATTTCCAATGTAGCAAGAAGAAGCTATGTGCTCAATACTCATACCAGCAATGGAGCGCTTTCTGGATTTTGAAGGCAAGTTAAGGGGGTGTGCCGCAGCCCATTAACTGTATCAAAAAACATTTTTAGCGGACAGTATTTATATGAATCGATAGCCCAAACCTTGTAGATTCCATAGGACTGTTTGGAGCCTGATTTGTCTTTTTAGCTCTAAGTAATATTTGGTGAAAGCACAGCGATCAACAGCGAAAAATGGGAAAAACGAGATTTTGGTTGGCTTCTAATTCCACGGTTTGCAGGTCTTCTGAAGCGGGATTCCTGAGGTGGACAAAGAAGGAGTAGTGCTTTGTCTTGAGTGCAAAAACGGAAGTTAATTCACTTTTGAAACAAAGTTAACCATGTTGGAACTTGACCGTTTCATTTAGGTAGCCTAGTATCTTGAATCTTCAGAATTCGCTCACACTTTGTCTACAGGGGTTAATTGACATGCTAATTATGGATATAATACGAATATCATGTTATCACTATTATCAGATTACCCAACTATGACCCCCTCCCCTTTTGACTCCTCAATACGACCCCCCAGGTGTGGCGTGCCGCACCCCACGCTTGACCCTGGTAATTACTTACAATTAGTTAGGAGCTTAACTACCGTACCAAACCAAAACCTCTCAAATCTCAGATTTGCCTCAGATTTGGGTGGAATCTTTGACAAGCATGAACCTCAAACATACCCGAGTCGATAGCGATTGGAAAGCGATTGCATTTTTCGCCGGAGTCATCATTGATATCATCTCGTACCAAGGTGAATGTGTCCTCAAAGAAATTTCTTTCCGGAAATTTCCAGAAGTATGAAAGTACAGTGAGAAAAAACCGGCTACCTCATGTAACGTAATGTCCCAGTATGGTATCGGTCCCATTACTATACCTCTGTCATAGATATGCAAACTATCAGGGCCACATCCAAGAATTGCATTCTCCAGTGGAACCTCGTCGAATGTCGGTCCCGATTCAACTGCAAGCCTGCAAATAGCACATCTATTACAACGCGAGTTAAAGTGTTGAGTTCGAGGCAGAACTCGTGATCATGGATGAGGTAATAGAAAAGCAAAGAGCGATGGAAAGATCTGTAAACAATTGTGAAACCAAGGTTTGCAGCAACATTTCATTTTTTCGACATATCATTGTACTGCAGAGTCATTTCTTAAATTTCAAACAATACAGAATTCCAAAAGAAAACATGAAATTTGTGAATGTAGAAGAATTGTAAGGACCTCCACATTCACCAAACATTGTTGATTCGGTGGAAAAGGAAAGAGAGCCATCTCATCTTATGAAGACGTTTTAAGATGGAATAAACAAAAGAACAAGATTCTATGAGTCATACCAATTTAGCAGAACTGTCATTTCCACTTGAAAAATCACTCTCAGAGATTTTCAAAAGTTGGTCACAATTTAAAGATTTGAAATCTTGTGGTGCCTATTTCTACTGTGTGGAAATTTACCATATCTCGACATTGTTCGAGACTTTTTATGGTCACACTTGTGAAAAACAATGTTATGACCAGCAAGGGGTGTTGAAAATTGCAAATTTAAAAAAAATTGCTTGATCTATGCAATTCCTTGAGTAAACAACAAACCTGTACTCTCTGCTTTCGCCGGTGTCCCTATCTACCTCAAATATGGAAATGCGTGGGTACTCCTCGTCTTTCTGGAAATAAATGCAAACAAAATTTTTTACAAAAAATCTAAACATCTCTTTACTTACAAAAATCGCGACCACAAGTATGTAGAGCTTTGGTTTGTGATATGAGCATGAGGGAAAGGTATAGAAGACTTCCTTCACTGGCAAACAAAAGATTTGTCGCCAGCTGTTTGGGAATAATGTATGCAAGCTCCACAGCTGCACAGAATTTGGGATAGTCGGCTGAAAGCAATTTTTTCAAAAACTTCTAAGATTTTGGATTTTTTCTTAGATGACCGGATGAGCAATTCTTTCACAGAATTTCTCATTCACCTGCAAAAAGACGGTGTTGCCAGCAATTCCGACTCTATGCAATCGATGGCCGGCTAGCCGGTTGTCCAGGCGGATCGCACGCATCACACTCAGGAGCTCCTCTGGCTCCGCCAACACTTTCCTCACTCTTCAACTGAGGAGGAGGTGCTACCTATCAATCAATAGGTTCAACGAGATCCAAAATAACAGCAAGGCAACAAAAATCTGCAAAGTCTCAAAAAACGAAGATTACGCAATGTTTCGAGCTTAGAAACATGAGAAATGGTCAAAATTAGCCTTTCCTCGGGATGCCACGCAGTTTCTCATGGTAAATGGTTTCTTTTATAAACAGTGCTCTAATTTTAAGGCCAAGTAAATCAATTTTCTCCAAGGCATATAGTTCGCATCTAATTAACCATAAAATAGAAAATCGCGCTTCCACTGGGAGCAAGATTTCAATTATAAAATTGTGAAGTATTTCCATATCACATTAAAAAGAAATTAGAAGCCTGAGGTAACAGCCGATTGCTTGTCGGGGTGGGAGGGAAAGAAGGAGAGGGTTTTTTGTCGAGAGGCGTAGTCAAACACACACAAAAAAATTTCTCCTTTTGCTTTCCCAATTTAAAATAGCTTATCCGAATGCTTAGCCTAATGTTTGTTCAAATAGCAAACTTACAAACTTGCCCAACATAAGAAAGTCCTGTATCAGAAGAAATAGATGCAAAATTTGCAAAGTTACATCGCACATCACATAAACTGAAATATTGTCGGACCATTCAACGAAATATTTGTGTAAGATGCAAGAAACCAAAAAAAAAACTGATTACAAGTAGAATAGAGGATTGAAGATCGTTCATCGATGTGATTGGGAATATTGGATCTAACTGTAAACTTATCGCCATGAAATCTTACTTTTAATGAGGTCCACCGCAGCCATTACTTCCATTCATAATGAAATTCTAAAACACATTTCTTTATCAACGAGTTCCCAGGAATCATGATAACACCTGTAACCAGTTATTCAGTGTGATAAGCATTTAACCTCAAAAGCTGCAAAAGAAACAGGTGACAACTCTTGTCAACTCTAGTGGTGATCGTTTGCAAGCGAGTGGTAAGCCGTTATTCACCAAAGCACTCGCCTCTGATGTCAAAATTATCAGTATTTCGCAATTTCTGATAAACTGTTATTGAATATCTACATACTAAGTTGCGGCAGCATTTGGTCAAACACCTCGCAATGTTACATGATCTTAGGCTAATTAATAGGTTCTAGATAAATAGTAGCCTGCAGTAGTTTGTACTAATCATTTCACAAGCTCCTGCAGTCATCTTTGGATATGATGAAATAGAGGGAAAAAACTGTAGAAATTTTAAGAGCATAGATTATAGATGTAAATCGCGATAAATGCCAGCTTTCAATATGCAGTTCAGATTCCGCTCACTAAAAATGCTTAGATTATATTTTATTTTATATTTTTATATTTATATTATTATATTATTATATTATTTATATTATTATTTTCATTATATTTTTCACTTTTTGCTCAATTACATGATCTGCTCATACTATAAACCAGTAATTGTAGAAAAAGGAAATAAAAGATGACATTTATACCAATATTTAATGAAAGACTATTGTACAGGTTGGATTGGAGTCTAAGAACTTCCATACGAATTCTAATTATTAGTTATTCCAAATTCTTGGTACAAGACTCATGTTCCGACAACAGAAAAATCTCAAGCAATTGTTTTGCCTTGGACCCTCAATTCCATGGTACATACCCTCACCAATATAGCTATCTCGCTGTATTATTCATAAATAGATTGCCATGCAACAGCGGAGCGGCTGATTATGTGAGCAAAGCGCGTTACTTCAAAGAACGCACACACTGCTACAAATTTCAGGAAAAAACGAAAAGTAATCCACTTCAGAAAAAAATAGAAACCTGAAACGATTTCTGCCAGATCCGATATGGAAAAAGATGAATGACTCTCAAGCTTAGCAAATTTATATTGAACAAAAAACAATTAAAATGCGATAAAAACTGCTGGAGCACCGAAAAGAGCCTCTGTTTTAATTGTGAGAAGCATACAGAGTGCGTACTCCTTATTTTTTTTTGCAATTAGAAAAGAAAAAGTCAGGAGTTCTACTGAACCGAAAAACTGAGAGGTTTTAGGATGAGAAAAAAAACTTTGCAGTAAGGAAGGAAACGCTGAAAAGTTGTTATGGTTGTGGTTTCATTCAGATTTCTTGTTCGTCTTCTTTCACTAAAAATATAAGTTCATTTATCAGCACTCTTCACTCAAAGCCAAAAATCCTTATTCATTTTTTTGTTTTATCAGAGCTATTTTGATTTTATTTCTACTCTAAAAGACAAACATTTTTGGTACATAAGTACGTCCCGAGTTTTTGGCACAGGTTAACATCATTGAGGTATAATCAAAGGACTATTCCAGCTTATTCATTCGTCCCACATCAAAATTCGTGTATAAACGTTTCACATGAAAGTCCAGTTTGAATAATTAACTTGCTTTTGATGAAATGAGCTTTTAAACAAGTTCTCATGCCATACTAGCTTGATCAAAGACATCGCATATGCGTTGCCGAAAGCCATAAATACATATTATCCGTATAAAACGGTTTCCATTTTATACGGATAATATGTATAACATAATTTAACAACTTTGCTTTGCGAAGGCGTTTTTTTTTCTTGGATCCCCAAATTAAACCCATTGTTATATACCATAATGAATCTTATAAGTGACTCTATTATTAGGTCGTCTCATAAGTTCACAGAATTTTCATTCTTGTTCTAATTTCTTTGAAAAGCGATTGACTTGCGGCAAAATGCTATACCATTGAAAAGAGCTGATCATCCTCTTTATATTGAACTTTTCAATTTTGACGGAAATCCGACTTACACTTCGATTTTTCAGCTCCCAAACATGGAATTTTTAAGAGACAATCAAAAGCATTTTCAACATCTGCTCATTCTTTCGTGTAAACATTGGCGTTTTTGCATAGATTTGTAACCGATTATGGAAACTGGCATTCCCACGTCAATATGAGACCAAAAAGAACTGGACTGCTCAAAAGTTTAAGGATTGAGCAGGGTGTGTCCTGAACAAGACTTTTCGTGGGACGTGCAGAACATTCTGCACTAAAGTTTGCTGGTCAAACCAAAACCGCCGACCGTACTCTACGCTACTCAACTGCATCGCTCAAGCGAATCTTTACAGGAAAAGCCTAATAAACAGGTCCATTGAGTTTCTCTGCATAATAAGATATGGTTCTGTACGGCAAATGTCGTCAAAACTGTCCTCAAGACGTGAACTAGCAAGCGCATTGATGTCCAAAGTACTTGCCCAGACCTCGCTTTAGAGTATCATTTGTTCCGCTCTCTTACAAATCATAGAAACGATGCTTCTGAAGACGATTCCCGGCGTTGGTTAAAAGACTTTTTTGGGACCAGGTCAGCTGAGCTTTGAACAAACAGAGCTGAAAATCTGACGGCAAGGTGGCAGAATGTTGTGCGCAACAGCGGAGTATACAATATTGACGATTTTTATAAAATTCTGTCAATTTGCTGTTTTTTTTTGAACTTTACGGACTTATGCAACGACCCAATATATCAAGTGACTCTATATCTTAGAACAACTCTATTACTATGTTGACTACTGCTAAACTTGTGGGAATTAGTATGTAAGTTCCATTTCATCGTTGTCTATGTCGAGCACGGTCAAGCCTGTTGCTAAGGTGGTGAAACTTACATTATGTTATCTACTAAATTAGAATATAGAGCATTTAGCAGCCACCGAGAAAGTGGCTGGTTAGATGCCCAGGATGCGAGAAGGATATCACGAAGACAGATGCGCTGAAAGTAATTCTACATCATCCAAACATTTCAAACTTCAAGCCAATTCCCAATGCAGATTTTTCTTCAAAGAGATCGTTGAGAAATTACCGTGAAAAATTTGTTACACTCTAGACTTTCCGTTGATCAGTTAGAAGGATAGACTTGCCCAATTTTTTTATGCAAGCCAAAAAGTGAATTTGCTAACAAACGATAGCCTTGACCATCAATGTCACAACGGTTCGAGAAATGGCGTTGAAAGAAAAGAAGACTGCACAACCACATTTCATGTAACTGTACGTTTCTATGATAAAAAGTAAGCTTCGCATAGGCTTCCAATCTCACTCCATCCCTCTCTTTCAGGGGCTGGAAAGCTTTCATAGATGACGAAAATAAGTGGGCAGATATTAAGTGACACTACTAACATTTTTGGTCGTAGGAAAGGCTTTGGCGAATGACTACCTTAGCGAATATCACTACTCGAGATAATATCAGTAAAGAGAATTCTTTCATGAAAAAAGACCGCGCTTGTCCTTTTTAACATGTAGAGAAAAAGGAGTTGGGAAAACCTTCTTGAAATTACCCTGCTGTCATCGTCTCAGAAAAAATCTTGTCAGACTGTCAAGTCAGCTCCGACATAAGACGGACACCACTTTATGCACATATCCATAAGGCCCCAGCAGTGCCGTACCAAGGGGTGGGGGGGGGGGAGGGGATGGGCCGCTCACCTACGCGAATGGGTCGCGAAGTTTTCGAAAGTTACTTAGATGAGTTATAAAAATGTGCAAATGATTTGTCATACTTGTAACTAATTGAAATAATTTCCTAAATTTTCAAAACTTCGGCTTGGCCTCATAAAAAAGTGGAAGGGGAGGGGGAGGCGGGAGTATGAAATTTCGGGGTTAGGAACCGAAAAAATTTTGGGAAGCATACAAAATTTTTTTTCAGAGTTTTCGGAGGAAATTTTTCGAACGCCACGCACCTCCATCAGAAATTTTGTTTTGTTGCCCCCCCCCCCCCCAATGGAAAACCTGGGTACGTCACTGAGCCTCAGGTATACCTTACGCGATTTGTTCGCGACGCGGTTTTTCAGTACTCCAGCCGTCTTTAACTTATTGTACACACTATACATGTCTGTAGCCTGCAAGTGTTTGCATTGAATGCCAATCGCTTCGCAGCTCAAATTGCGTGAATGCCCCAGATCTAACAGCATTCATGTTGAAAAGGTGCTCATGTTGAAGATATTGGAACAAACAAGAAGTAATTCAGGGGGATGCCGTTTATGTGCTCGGACGCATATGGCACTTGCAACACCTGACCTGCAAAATATGCAAGGTAAGAATTCATTGAAACAAATATAGCGGCCAAAAAAATTATCACAATACACTGCTCCCCTATACCACTACATTATAGTTACAAAATCAATTTGTAATCTGCAGATCTTAAGGGCCGGGCATACTTCACGCGATTTCATTCGTGACGCGATTTGGCAATATTCCAACCGTCCATAACTCACTATAAGCACATTTTGAATGTACATGAGATAGTGCATTTCATCAATCCACTTAAGTTCTATACACTAGCATGTGCAGTTTGCTAGTGTTGGATCTGAAGACTTCTGGCGAATTGCCAAATCGCGTAGCGACTGAAATCGCATGAAGTATGCCCGGCCCTTTACCAAAAAAGTGCATTACAAAAATTCCATTTTTTAATAAGATTTTAGACTTCACTAAGTGAGACTGGCTGCCATGCTTCACCATTAGATGCAAGTACACCAATATGCACAGACTGTTATATGGAAGGTCAACATCCTTGTTGTTTCAGTAAGTTACTAACGATAACCATTTCTCTTAGCGCCAAATCGAACATCGTGCCTGAACGTCACGGACTTTCACACTCAGGCTTTTGATAGGCAAACCTTGTTGCACCTTTTAGAAGCGCGGGCCAACGTGTGGGCAGTGGAAATAGTGCGATGAAAGCAGTCACCAATTTGCATCAACTGAAGAATCGCATTGTGTAGCGCTAGTCTCAGGTTGCGTCAATTAGCCAAAAGCAGCTTTGTTTAGGAAATACAGGGCGCGCTATAACCGGTTGCGTGGTAGCTGGAAAAAATCTACCCCCTTCCAACATCAGCGTTTTCCAGGCTGCCACTTGCCGCTACGTGAAACGTGCTTGATTGCTGGACGAAAGAAGTACCATCATGAATGTTTTCGCTGTTATAGATGCCGCGGAGCCATGCCAAGTTCTCTTACCACAAATTACAACAGTTACATTCAGATATCATTACAGATGGAGAATATTTCCTATGGAACGGTAATCCATTTGATGAGGACTGCTTCTACTTGCTGAGATGCATCCGAAAAAGCGGAAGCACATTTTGATGTAGAGAAGGTTGTGGAACTTGGATGTCTGTACCTGACAATAAAGATTCACCCATACCAAGTGAATGTCGCTTCGCTTTAGGCCTCACGCATAATTCAAGCGATTTCGTCGCCTCACGAATATCCCGACAAGGCAGTTGGTACGAGTCCATTGCAAGCCGATCACCTTGCATTTGGGTTATGGTAGTCGGAAAACTACACAACCGAAATGCAGAGAGTAGGCATGAAACTCGTAACAGTTGTCTTGTTGGAGAATCGCGAGACGATGAAATCGCGTGAATTATGTCCGAGTTAGGCTAGACATATTTTTAACCCACCGTTGTTATGCAAAACAAGAAAAAATTCTTCCTGTGTTCTCTCAATAATTCTAACGCTTCCGTATCCTTCCAGAGGCAAAATATGACATTGATGATTAAGGTAGGAACTTTAAAAAGGATTTTGAGCTATAAAACCAAAATCCTTTTCATTCCTACCTTAATCCTGCAGTAATGGAGAGCAGTGGGTAAACCGCTCCATATCCCTAAATCTAAGTTCAAGCCAGTCCTACATGGTACCTAAATCTTCTTGAAAAACTTCATTATGAGAGAGTTATTAACAACAGCAGTATGCACATCTTTTTAGAACACTTGCATATAGTCCTTCGGAGGGCGTGCAGGAGTTCCTAGCACCTTTCCTCGCACCAACTTCGCACCAGCATTCGCAACCCAGGAGGGTTTGCACCTTCGCGCCTCAGAGGTCAGTCTCCGCCCATTGCTCCACCCATTCACTGGTCTCATTGTGAGGTGAGCCACGAGCGAGAACATAGATTCACTTACTAGGTAATATGAGAAAACATGGAGATAAGCGAAAAACATAGTTATCATCCCTCAGGTGAGGCCTGGGAACTTCTGCTGCGCCAAACTTTCAAAAATGAATACATGAACATTATCCTCAGAAGAGAAAAATTGCACAGAATTTTTTTGAGTAGAAAACCCGCCCATTCGAAATATCAGAGGATCTAGTTCTTCAGTTGTATCTTACTGGTCATCTGATTGAAGTGATAGCATTAGCACCAAGAATTTTTGATAAATGGATGACCAGAAGTGGCCAAGAATCCGATTACCTTCTCAAAATTAGAAGAGCCTATTTTGAAAGGAGTACATTAAAGTTTCCGGATATCAACTCAACGTTTTCTGTAATAGCTAGGATATTTGAAAACATACACTTTCCTGCTTCCGTCTGCCATCTTATATTTCAACTCAACTACACAATAACGATCAATAATATCCAAATTATCAGAAACTTTCAAGTGTAGTATTCCCTTTAATCGATGTACTGGAATAACAAACTTCGTCGCATGGTCAAGAGTTGGCTAAGAGTTCCAAATAAGACACTAAATTTGAAAAATATGGTATTCGTATATTCTCAAATGAATTTTAGAGCGTGCGTGAAGTTGCTTTCGCTTCTATATCTTTAGCTGGAAGACTCATAACTTCTGATTGATTTATATCAATGATTTATACTTTTACTTTGTTTTATGATATGCTTCAGATTTATACTTTTACTTTGTTTTATGATATGCTTCACGCTTCAGCTTCAAGCTCACTCAAACGCGAGTACTTATAAGTTTTTAAGAAAGCGTCATTTTATCCGAAAACATGACTAAAGCATGACTCGAAATGCTAAAATTTAGCTGCAGTTATTTACGGATTCTGTATCCTCATAGAAACCTAGAATTTTCTGTTTGTTTCTTGATTTCAGTCGATTATATCATATATTAGGTCGTTCCGAAAGTAATGTCGCTTTTTTCAAGCGTACGCCACATTTCGTGGAAGAAAGATATGTAAGAGATTCTGGCACATTTGATGCAGCATTTCATTCTCTTTCTAATGGTTATGAAGCTGTTGCAATACAGTAAGTGAGCTTCCAGAAAAGAGTCAAAATCTGCGACTTATGCTTTTTGAGATGGCCAAGTTTCACAATTTTTCTAAAATTTTATGACAAACCTCTGAAGGAGTCCAAGTAATGGATGGATGGAGCAAACCCTACAGGAAACAGCACAACTTTTTTCTACTTTTCAGAGCTCGTCATAATTTTTGTATAGATTTTTTGATGGAAGCACCGAATTTTAGCAGGCTCGTCTCAGACACAAATGCATCAAACACCAAGAAATTTCGGATTTTGAAACTTATAAAAATGGATTATGGTTTTACACTAACTTTACAAAGCAAATGAGCGTTTACCGCTTCAGATTAGCAGCTTTCGAGAATTCCGGGTACAGCCGGAGGCGCCCTGGAAAACCTGAATTATGATGATTTTATCTCGGAAAACTTAATGAATCGGAAACCAAAAACAACTGGTAAAAAGAGGGAAAAAAGCTGCGTCGAATGACACCCGAGTTGTTTGCCGGTCGTTGTTCTGTGAGGTTTGAGTTGACCAAATATGGAATTTGATGGCATATTAAAACTGATTCCAGAAACTCTAAGAAGCAAGCTAAGGAAAAGAAAAAAATTACTCTGTGTCCCATAGGGTTTGCTCTACCTACCTGTCACTTGCACTTCTTCGGAGAATAGGTATAAAAATTTTAAAAAATTGCCGAACTTGACCACGGCAAAAAGCATGAGTTGCAGATTTTGTTAATTTTTCGAAAGCTCAATGGAAATTATGCAATGAAATTACACCCGTTAGAAAGAGGATGAAATGCTGCATCGGATGCTCCTAAGAATTCTTGAAAATCTTGATTCCATGAAATGTGGCGTTCATTTGAAAAAAGCGACATTACTTTCGGAACGACCTAATACAATGAAGCACGTCTTAGTGTGCGTGTACACAATTTAGAATGAGGGCGCCTAGAGGGAGGAGTTACTACCGCTTTCGGTTATTTTAGCAGCAATTCGCGAATTAAAAAGGTAGTGCAGGTATCATCGGCTCTCAGATTCGTGTGGAGGCGGTTGCTGACTTCCCCTCATTTTCAGGATAAACTTGTTAGGCCTCGGACAGAGTTCACGCGATTTGATCGCCGCGATAGACAACTGTTACAAGTTCATTGCATGCCGATCAGCCTGCATTTCGGTTGTGATACTTTTCCAGCTCGAAATTGAATGTAAAATGAAAATGAATGAAAATCGCGGCGATTAAATCCCGACGATCAAATCGCGTGAACTCTGTCCGAGGCCTTGAACCTCCACTTTATAGCATTGTATTTCGTACTCTCTCCTCCTTAAAAGGAGGGAAAGTCCGCAACACGCCTCCACATGAATCTGGGAGCCAATCATAAATTCTTTTGCAAATGATAGCACTCACCTATCAGCTGAGATCCCACAACCGCATCGCTAATTCTAAGCAGGATTGTTTCACACCTGTCAAAACAACCGCCAGTTTACGGCAGTTAAAATGCTAAAGAACCTCCTGTATAGAAACGATGGAAGAAAACTTTAACCACTACACAAGCGACAATGACTGTACATACAAGATTCATCATTATCATTCAACAACAATAACAACGTGAATCTAATGATAATTTAATCTGATATAAAACATCAATATTACGATTTACCAAATGAGAACTTAATAGGCGGTCTAACAGCTCCACCTTTATTGATAATGGCAAGTTGTTCATTCTTTAGCAGTTCTTGTTTTTCCTTCTGCACCTCCTGCCGTTCACGTTCGAGAGCACTTCGTTCTGCCAGCATCGCAAGCCGCTCCTCGTTGAACCTATACAAAGAAGAAGATTAAACCAAGTAGAAGCCACACCGCCTTCGCCGTCAATCTGTGCAACCTCAACGCCATGGATGTTTAAGCGATCTGAGCATGCGTAATCCGAAATATGGCGATTCGCCCTTCGTCAGCCATCTTGCTCTCCCTGCGAAATAAAGCAATGCAGCAATCATGCACGCTTAGCTGCTGCAGAACGTTCACAACTGCACTCTATGCTGAAACTCGAGGGGAGATAGTATACTGCCAACCTTTTTTCGCTCTCATCAGCTTTTCGAACTTTCTCTTCCAGTTCTTTCTCGAGGGCGGCACATTTTGCTTTCGATGCTTCTTCTCGCTTTCGTATGGAAGACATCTCTTCTTCCATTTCGCCGAGGATCTGTGCTCTGAGGCGAGCCTCCACTTCAGCTCTCGTCTTCTTTTGACTTTCGGTCATTGCTTCTTCTAATTTCTTTACCCGCTCAAGCACCTAAAATGCAAGTAATTAATATAGATTTCTAGCCGGACATATCAAAGCGTTACTGGATATCGGAAGAGCTGTCACTCTGCCACTTTCCAAACTCTTCGATATTTCCTGTGATGTCATATGCAGCGTAATTACAAAAAACGACATCTATCCCGATATCCAAACGTAATGATCCTATCTTACAAGTTAATTGGAGCGTGAGCATTTTAGGGGCAATTTCCTAGTCAGCAAGTGGATTGTCCCAAAATTTTTGTTCATTCGAAACCATTTGCACCAGAATGGGGGAACGCGTAACGCTTTCACCGTATCTGTGCGTAAAAGAACGGAATACCTGTAAGAAGTCCCAATAGCTGCGTCGGAACATGGTCACGAGATCCACTGCGAACGAAATCGAATCAATTGTGTTTCACAATGATAGTATAAAATCTAGGCTCAATCAGAGTGGAAAGCGTTGTGTGTTCGAATGTAAAGGCACAAGCTAATCTCTAAAAGCTGCAACGTAACGCGCGGATAGAGCGGCACGACATACAAGTCGAGCCCCCTATCTAATCGACGAACTTACACGGAATTTCTTCATTTATGAAAACTATCCTAGAATTATGAATGAGTTTTTTATGAAGCAATGAAGAAGACAACACAGTTTTCAAGAAAAAACAAGTTTTTTGAAAGAGAAAAATAGAGATAATGATGTGCTAGAATTCTACTAGTTACCTGTTCAGCGATTCTTTCTTCTAGCCATTCTCGTGCCTCCGTTGATATGCTAGAGATATCGAAAGTGCCGGACAGCTCTCGTTCAATTTCTGACGGGACCGGGACCCTAAACAGGCAAGAGGACTTAAGAAAATCAGGTTGCAATCAAATCCTCCATTTTCAGATGAAACGAGAGCGTTCAATGACAGTGGTAACCTGACAAATTTACCTAGCACACTGATTTCAGGAATTCCTCGAAAGTCAGAGCCCGAAAAACGTTTATGCGCACGAGTCATTGCTGCGTACTATCCGTGCTAGGTTTAGTCATGTGTACGGGTTTGAATTAACCATCGTAATAACGCATCCGTAGCTCTCAACACGGAGTCACAGAAGGGAAGGTTGCTTTCCTATTCTCAAACCTAATACAAACTTTATTGTTGGAGGAACTGTGAATCTTTAACAAGAGGGCCCTCATATTAGTAACATGGGTAACACTGGTAATGTATGGTCAAAGCCTTAACGTCAAGTCGGGCATACTTCATGCACAGTGCGACGCGATTTGGCTATACTTCTGTGTGCGCATAACCCATCGTAAATGCAGGATGCACAATATAAACACGTATAAAGCATTACATCAATCTACGAACAGAATGAAAGACATGCATTTGTTTTCTGCTAATGTTGGATTTGATTGAAGAGATTTGGGAAATAGCCAAATCGCGTGGAATATGGCCGGTCTTATATAGGGAGGATACTTGGCAGAAGTAAAGTTTCCATATGAAATGTATACTGTCTTGCAGAGCATGGGCTGAATCAAATCTGCTTTCGGTATCTGCACATCGCTTTTGTGAACGGAGTTATGGAAATTTTGAGGCAAAAATTCAAGCGTTGGCTGAGGTAAAAACAGGTGTTGAGGTTTCTTTCGGGTGCTTGAAAGCGGTAATGACTAAGGCCCTGGCCAGACTTCGCTCAAAAGCGCCCAAAAGCGCGCAAAAGCGCCCAAAAGCGCGCAAAAGCGCCAAACTTCTCTAACCTCTCCTCGCTCTCTCTCATCTCTCCTCACACGAGAAACTGAAGAGACACCAGAGAAATTTGGGCGCTTTTGAGCGCTTTTGGGCGCTTTTGAGCGAAGTCTGGCCAGGGCCTAACGTAAGTTTATTAGGCTGCAGGAAATCACTAAAGCGACAATAGTCATATCCCATTTAAGCTCACGAAATACAGTTTGAATGATTTCATTGTCTCCAGGTGTTTTAGCTACACAAAAAACCCATAACTACCCCTTCCAGAATCGCTTTGCACATATCAAAAGTAGATTAGGAATCAGCGTTCCATGCTCTATAAGATATGTACATATTATTATTATTATATATAAATCATATGAACACACCACTTCGACCACATACAATTCCCTTTTTAGAAACTCGCAAAAGTTATCATTAATTTTGGAACTTGCACATCTCATCAACTTTCAAGAAAGCGCGGAAATTCTAGAATTGATCTTAATGCATGAATCAATCAATCAATCAATCAATCAATCATCAATCAATCAAGCGCAATAAAAAATGAAGATAAGAATGTGGAAAGAAAAGAAAATTTGAAAACCTACTTCCGCCTATCGCGGTCCCTATCTCGATCTCTATCTCTGTGGGAATCCCTATCTTTACTACCACTTCTGCTTCGACGTGAACGTTCACGAAGGATACTTCCTAGCTTATGTGATTCTGATGTATCGCTTGATCCATCGCGACGCCGTCGCTTCTTGTCCTTCTTCTTCCGCTCCTCGCTGCGGTCGCGACGTTCGCGACGTGGTGAGCGTGATCTTGAGCGGCCCATCTTTGAACGTCTGCAACTCAAAATGAAGCATACCGACTTTGAATGAACTGATAAGAAAATCGATAACGAATGTTGCACATGTCAGAACAATAGAACTTATTGAGACACTCAGAAATTGGGTAATTTAGCGCGCTTACATTCAAGTTCTGCTTACACAACTTATTTCAAACTAGACAGAATGAGATAAAAGGAGGAACCAAAAGTTTTGTGGTGTGGAGATAGGTGATATGCGCTTAGCTCTCCATCCCACCTGGTTTCGTGCAATATTTGTGAATATTTTCCGAAAAAAAATCAGGCGCAGTGAAAATGCTGTTTTCAAACGCTGCATCAACATCCCGATGTCCTAGATATTCCATAAGCAGGACTGAGAATGCACAGAGTTTTATACACGTCCGTAAAATTAATAGAGAATTTTTTGACTGCTTAAGAAGCAGCCTCGAGAATGAACGGACGAATCACTAAGTGTGCTGAAACGCTGATCTGAAATATCTGTTCGCTGAGTGCTAAGCGATTTTCTGAAAAAGTAGCGAACATTTTCTTGAAAATTTGCACTATTCCACTTAAGCAAAAGTAAAGTAGGCAAAACTCCTTATTTCGCTGCTCGGAAGAACATTTGGAGATAAGCGCAATCATTTCGAGTTTGGATAGCCTATCCTATTGTTTCTATCAAATCAGCGCACAGTACTCTGTTTCGAAAAGAGACACAACATGAATATTTGCGAGATAATGTGTCTATAGAACTACTGCCTAACATTATGAGCATAAAAAAGGTATGGCATCAGTACAGAAGTGTCGAAACCATCCCAGCTCAAAAAACAGCAGCTTCGATATCGATTTCATGAGACGTCGTCTCCGCGCGCAGTAGTGTAGCCACGTACAACCTTTGCAATAGGCGTTGTCTTCCAAAGGTAGGTGCCAGATAAGCGAATATATTGTTCAGCTTCGTTCAGCTGCAAAAGGCGCACAGAATTAACGTTGATTCTGCGCGGGACCTGCAGCTGAAGCAGGACTTGGCAGCAGTAGAGATCATGCAGCAGACATTAATTCTGCGCGCCTTCTGCAGCTGAACGATGCTGAACAAAATATTCGCTTACTCTGGCACCTACCAAATTATTCGCTACTAGTTCACTTACCCGGCTCCGCCCAGCCCTGTCATTATTATATTCGTAATCAGCATGCTCGATTACCCCCCTCTGCCAATTCCCAGCCCCGTAGCTCAAATTTTGCAAGAAATCGATATCGATCGATGATGGAAAGTGGCCTATGACACCCGCCGGGGCCCGGTATGTGTGCCAAGTTTGGTCCGGATCGGTTCAGAAATAGAATTTTCTATTCGGAACATACGTACACACAGACAGACATACAGGGCTCCTAAATTGCAGAGTCGTTTGCACCAGCGGTCGCGCGACCGCGCCGCGCCCAGGCATTTTGCCGGCGCCGGCGCCATCGATTGAGGCGGCGCCATTGATGCCCGGGCGTGACGCGGTCGCGCGACCGCTGGCGCAAACGACTCTGCAATTTAGGAGCCCTGTACGCACAGACAGACAGACATACAAACAGACATTCAGCTTTGTATAAAAGATTCGCCGAACCATTTGCTGTGCCGCGAGGGCGGAGCCGGGAGCGAATCAGTGGGTTGTCCTCTGTTGAGGCGTCTCTATAGTATACTTGGGGAAATTCGAAATTTTTTTCGAATATTCGAATATCGAATATATTCGAAAATTGAAAATTTCGAATATTCGACTATCGAATATTATTCGAAAATCGAAATTTTCGAATATTCGACTATCAAATATTATTCGAAAACGAAAATTTCGAATATTCGACTATCGAATATTATTCGAAAATCGAAAATTTCGAATATTCGACTATCGAATATTATTCGAAAATTGAAGTCTTCGAATCGAATAATATTCGAATATCGAATATCATTCGTTAGTCGAATTTCGAATAATATTCGGTTCCCGAATATTATTCGATTTTCGAATATCATTCGATTTTCGAATGTTATTCCATTGATTAGACTGCCTATGAGAGACCAAAACATTTGAGAATAAATTTTTTCATATTATTATCAAAAATAGACACTTTTTTATGTTATAATTTACGATAAAAAACGGTTCAGTGGTGACGTGAAGAGACTCAAAAACCTAAAGGCGTAATCCTGTGACGGTTGTGAAGGGATTTTTCGAACTTTAAAAAAGTTCATGTATTCTCATTGAGAGTTGTAGATTGACAAGCAGGATTTCTCAAAAGATAAACAATATTTGATTGCTAGTTTTCCTCTGGCAACTTTTGACGAACTTAGTTAATTCTGTAGCTCTGCTTCAACTTGGATAAGTATGAAGCAATTCGTCGATCGCATTTCACTGCGTAACATAACCTTGAATAAAATGAAGAGGATTTTGGGACTGTGGGGGCATATTTTGAATGCTAAAGGAAACCAAAAAACTAAAAGCGCATACGTTAGGCTATTCAAAGTTGCTGGAAGTACAAAATCTGCACTCAGCCATAATGCTTTGTAAGCTATGTCAGATACGGTGTAGTAAATTTTTCCAATGTTTCTCAAAATGTGATTGCACATCAATAAAGCTTAAAAAATTCGTGAAAAGTTGTGTAGTGAAATCAGCTTACGTAAAAATGCTGTTAAACAAACTTTTAGATTTTTTAGGAAGTTCTTTCAATCGGCTGATTCCGTAGTGGCTCTATGTGCTGCAGGTTCTTACCGCATCCCGCAATAAGAGCTAAGAGAGCTAAGGGTGATCCAAGTTTTTCTTGCAGATGTAGTCGGAGCGAGCTCTACGGAATGGCACCCCAAAGTTTGGAAAAGTCGTTGAAGAAAGCTATTAACGATCAAAAAGTGTGTATATACCTTCAAAAAACTCTATATGTGCTATGGATATGGAACTCTCAAATATTTGATGCTCAGCGTATTTTCGCGTGGTCAGTGCTCATCGAATTTTCGAATATTCGATGCTCATCGATTATTCGAATATTCGATAAACATCGAATAATCGAATTGATGACCATCGAATATTCGACTTTCGAATAATATTCGAAAGTTGAGATTTTCGAATATTCGACTTTCGAATACTATTCGAAAATTGGGATTTTCGAATATTTGAATATCGAATATATTCGAAAACTGAAAATCTCGATTATTCGACTTTCGAATTTTATTCGAAATCTCAGATTTTCGAATATTCGACTTTTCGAATCATTCGCATTCGAATGATTTATTCGAATGATCGAATAATTATTCGATTCGGTCCCAAGTATACTCTATAGCAATAAACTCAAAGTTTGTGATTAAGGTGTTATTATGTTCGGAATAGAAACTTTTTTGTGGACCGATAGGCCCCAAACTTTGCACACGCATGTTTTCGACACGCGAAGAACAGAGGCTTCATTTCACTTCGTTTCACTGCGCTCTCCTAAGTGGGCGTCAGACTTATCCGGTTCAAACGGTCCACAAACTGCATATGCTGGAAAAGTTCGCTATTGGTCAATTCTTTGACCAATAGCAAATGGGTGAACAGCACGGACCGACTGAACCGGACCAGTCTGGCGTCTACCTATTGATTTATTGATTTGATTGCTACTTTCAAAAAGATGCGTCCGAGGAAGATAGTTTGTGCGTAGGAGAGACAGCAGACCGTAAGGGAAACGAAATAGCGCTCGATCACGGAGACGCCGATATGTCCGCAGTCTTTGCGTGCTATGAATCGCCCATAGCTATCATTTACATGCAAAAAAAATGTTTTGAAAAGAGACAAAAGCAGAGGAGATGCTTGCCGGAAATGCGTACGCGACGCGCGTGAGGGCGCTTATTGGGACCTTTTCATAGAGTTGTGGTGGTTATACGGCATGGGGTCGAAAACATAGATTTGCTTCAAACTTCGTTTAGGGTGGTCATTTAGCGCGCTGAACATGAATATCATGCTGATTTCGCAGGATAGTGCATTTTCTTGGGTTACGGTGGGTGTAGATGGGTCGAAGTTCCAGATTTGCTCAAAACCTTACCTGTAACGGTTCACAACTATATCGCTTGTGAATATGATGCTTGCTCGCTGTCATAACGCAATAGTGAAGTTATGTTGAGTTGTAGGGATTGAAGGGACATTTTTTTCGCTTTCGGGCCAATTTAGATCCCAGATATTCACGAAATGGGGAAACGGTCGTTTCGCATGGCGGTCTCCAGCCATCCTGATAACCTGTCCCAACGCGTAATGCACGCGGCAAATCTCCCTCCCCCTGTCTTTGCTTAGGCAAAAGCAGCCGAAGGGTGTCTCGCGCGCGGCAGTGGTCCTGTAAGGGAAAGCATTACGGTCGTGGGAAACTTTTATACCATACGAATTGCCTTTATCGTGGGGATTGAGCACGATATTCTTGAAACAGCACTTTAGGTAATTTTCTGCCAAGGTTTCAGGCAGGTTCATGATTTTTACCCGCTACCATGTACCTACCATAACTCCGCGAAAAAGTCTCAAAACGCAACGAGAGTGTTTTAGACGTGGTCAGAAGGTCGAATCTCTCTAGACCAAGTTTCGGCCAAAAAACTGAGATCTCCCTCTGCAGTATACCTACCATAACTCAGTAAAATCGCCTCAAAATGCCGAGGGAGTATGATATTCGTAACAGCATGTCAATTAGCCCCCCTTAAAGTTTCAGCGAAATCCATGATTTTAGCTTCTTATGTGTACCCAACGTAAACCCAAAAATTGGCGCTATCGCGCGAAATGACTACGATATTCGTCATCAGCGGCTTTAATAATCCCCATGTCCCGACTTTGAGCAAGATCCATCACAAAAACATTTTGGGGCTGGATATCCGAATAGCGCCATTAGTTTTCAGAATTATCCTTACTTTTACCGGTTTTATTGTTTTTTTTTGCAAAGTTTGAGCTACGGGACTGGGGTTGTTGTGGGAGGTAGGTGGGCATGCTAATTACTAACACTGCGGGGATAGGGAATTGCATGTAGAAGTGGGCACAATGAAAGGTTTTACAAGGATAGGGATAAGACC